TGACGAATGTAGTGTAAAGAAAGATTGAAACAGAGAAATTTAAAGTTTAATTTTGTCTAATTTGCTATTTAAAGAATTTAGTTTTAAATAAAACTCAATAACGCAATTATGGTTTTAAATAACTACTCCGCTATTTAATTGGTTAAGGCAATATGCAGTAGAACATTTTTTTATTTATGTCACATTTTATGCTAGAATAAATAATGCAGACCCTTGCCACACAGGAATGATAGATTTGCTTGACTATAGTAAGCAGAAGGGAGAGGGGGGGATATTGTCGCCGCAGTGTCCTCAATTGGTTATGCCTGGACAAAAGCCGTACCGACTGTCAATCTGTGTAATTGGCGAAATTCTATCAAACTTAAAAGAAAGGCAACCCTACAAGACCCTACACTTTATATTTTCTGCCATCTATCCGCAGGACTCGAAAGCACGTCTAAAGTAAAAAATTAAAAAAACAGCGCCATCTATGTATTGCATTTAAAACAGTTTTTTTTCCTTAATGTATATAAACTATTTTAAAAATAAATATAATGCTGCAAGAAAAAATATTTTTGTAATGCAAATAAAAAAATAAATATAAATAACATTTTGAAAGTATAATTTTTATTTTTATTTATATTCTGTATTATAAGTTTTTAAAAAAAATTATTTGCTTAATATTTTGAAGTTTAATTAATAAAAATATCCAAATGTATTTTTATTACTTAAAAACGTATATTTAAGAATAAAATTTCTAAACAATTATTACTTTCAAGTATTGCTTAAAAGTTTAGGGGGAAAAAAGTTATTTACTTTATTAGACTAGACATTTGCTATAACCAGTCAGAAAATTTAAACACGGTTTTTTTAAAATTCAAAATTCTTAAGACCATTTAAACTATTTTGAATCCAGTTTTTAAGAAGTAAGTGATTAAACTGAGATATTAAATTTAAAATGAACATCAAAATAAAAATAAAATAAAAAACAGTTTATATAAATAAAACGTTTACTATTATAAATGGTATACATTCATTATTACAAAACACTTAAATTGTAATAAAAGTTAGTAAATTAATGTAATAAAAAAGCCCATCTCATTAAAAATCCTTGCTCTAAATTCAAGATATTTATAATTTCAAGGAGGATTTAAGCAATTTACAATATTTTTTTATTTTGTATAAATAGATTTTTTTATTTACATGAATTTTAAACTTACCTATTCATTTTTGTTTCAAAGAAGGTTTAAAAAAGGAATCATAGTCTGGAAAAAATTTATGTTAATTTCATTTGGGGCTTACAGTAATAATTTTCAAGGGACCAAAACATAAACAATGGGAAAAGTTTTTACATCGCTTCTTCCTAAAATGCTAAAAAATAGACAATAACGGACCTTTAGCCTTCTACTGCTATCATATAAAATTACAACTAGATTTTTTTTTTTTACCATGAATTACAAAAATGATAAATTTTTTATTGAATCCTTTAACTTTAAAAAATAAATGTATCACTTATTCAATAAAAAAATAATAATAAGTCTTCAATAAGAAAAAGCCTTCAATAAGTATTCAATTCAATAAGTCTTTCTTAAGTACATGTTTAATACAGTAAATTTAACAAAATTTTATAATAAACAATCGGAAAAATAAAAACTTTTTCTCAATGAACAAAGGAATCGTTCTAGTTATAAGTATTAATATTTATTCTTATTTTTAAGAAAATATGTGTTAAATTTTTCTAGAAAGAAAGAATATATTATATTTCGAGTTAAAAATTATACTTCAGAAAATGATTTCAAAAAGAAAAAATAAATAATTATATATATTTATTTAAAAATTTTAATAAAATTTAAAATGATTATTTTTTAATAAAATTATTTTTTTAAAAAATATAATAGGTAATACCACATAAAGTATATTTAGATTATAGTAAAATAATAAAATTCAAGTTTTTAATATTCTATGTAAAAAATTAGCAGTTTTCAAAGAATAATAAAAGTTGTTTTTTTCCTCTCAAAAATACGGTTAACGTTTTATGGATTTTTTCCTTTCTCTCCTGATTTTTTTCAAATTTTTGAGTTAAAAGAACATTTTTTACCAACTTTGCTTCTATTCATTATTAATCTATTGTAACATTACAATTAATTAACGGTATACAATAAAGGTCCTGTAACTAATTAAGTGTAAGAGGCCAAACAGCGGTATACAATAAAGGCCCTGTAACTAATTAAGTGTAAGAGGCCAAACAACGGTTTTATTTTTCGGGCCTGTATAGGTGAAGAATTATTCCGCCTCTTCCTGAAATGCCTCAAAACAAACGATAAGGGACCCTATTGTACTTGCCTTTTGCCGTTACCCTACCTAGAATGCCAGCTTACGGCCTTACGTTTGCCATGAGCTGTGTGCTTACTGGGTAGCCTAGCTTTACATTGGTGACTTTTCGACTTGATCTGAACACACATACCTCAACAGAAATGCCCACTTTGATCTGAACACTCCTTCTTTGACAGATGGAACACTGTGAACAGGTTGACTTGCTATTTGTGACGTTGCTTTCCTTCTGCTGTTGCTACACAGCCTTGATCAAACACAACAGCATCCCATACACATTCGACTGCTAATTGCAAGACAAGAGCGACAGCTCTAACAACCGTGATTTTAATACAACTCTCCTGGCCTCTGGCAAAACAGAAATGAATCAACTAGTGGCATCCGTTCATTGAATTCTGTCACAGATAATATTCTGGAGAGGAGTATTGTAGCATAGCTACCACTACAATCATTCAATTCCAATTCACTAATATAGACGACATGCTAACTCAATTCTATCTAGAGGTACCTTTAGATAGATGGCAATTGACATTGTCGGTAGCTTATGCCCACACTGTATTGAATTTTAAATTAATTCTAATGCAAAAATGATAACAGCACTTAATGAACAGACAGAAACACAATGTACAGCCAGAAAAAGGATTTCATATTAATCGTCAGAAAAATATATAAATTTTGGAATTTATGTTGAGTATCCATATCTTTTCTTTCTTATTATTCATTGAAAAAATAATTATGTTCAAATTAGTTAAGCTGAAGGTAATTGAGGTTCTGTTGAATATAATTACCTTCAGTAGAAAGTCAGTTCTTACTACATTTAATTAAATAAAATTGAACAAAAATTATATCAAAATATTTTTAGTCATTTAATAATTGTGTTCAAAATAATTATCCCTTATTTAACAATAAAGGAAGTATTCTTTCCCTATGTGAAAATGACCCTAATAAGGTACAGCATGGAATGTGATTTTTTCTTACTTACCTTATCTCTTAGATAGTAAAAATAAGCAGAATTTGAAATGAGGTGATATTAATAACTATAAATTTTTCAGAGCTTCCCTATATTATCCATTTATTTCCCTATCTATTTTTTGGTACCGTTCTTAAAGTGTATCAGAAACTCAGAGATAGTTTTTTTTTTCAAAAATTAAATAGATATAAACTATTTTTAGGTATCATGCTTAAAGGTATATAGGCATATATACCTTTAAAGGTATAAGGCATATAGCCTTTTTATGTTTTTTAGTTTGACTTAAATTTTTTTCTTGTGTCCAGAAGTAATTAAGCTGTTAAATTTATTCATTAATTAGTATTCCGAGAATATTTTAATAAAGTAAATACAATTGTAACTTTTCTTGGTTAAGCATGATTTTAAGCATTTTTAAAGTTAAGCATAATTTTAGATTTAGATACTTAACATTTTGCGTTACATCACAAATTTTTATGAATTATTTGACTTTTTGAAACAACAAATAAGTGCTTATGAATTTTTTTCTTGATTTTCCTATTAATTTTATTATTAATACATAAAATGTGTATTAAACCTTCAAATTGTGTGACAGTTTCGAAAGCAGTAATTTATTTATATCTTAATTTATAGGCATATTTAAACTTTCTATTTTATATACATTTTCAAAGAAATATTTTTTGGTGAAATTTTAAGCTAGCTTATATTCTGTGTGATGAGACTTTAATATCAGAAATAATGCTTAAAATAGTTTTTTTTTTTTTTTTAAGTTAAATATTTTTTCCAAGTGATTTTTATGGCTTTTTTTAATGGTATGGTTCTGTTTATCATGAAATGCATGTTATGTTTAACAGAGTTTCTTAATTTCTTATAATTTTTTTAAAAAATGTAAAATTGATTTTTAATATTTGAGAAACAAAATTATTCTCATTGATGAATTTAAACCTTTATGTATAAATTTCTTTATATTTTAGGCTATATTTAGCTTATTTTAATGCTTTAAAAGTCTAATATTAATTTTAATCCTAATGGGATATTTCAAACTGTTTTACATATTCCTCAATGTGCATGCTTTATTGGAATTGCATTAAAGCATAGTTTATCGAAACTATTTAAACAAATTACTTTAAAAAAGTATTTTTTTAATTTTTGTTATTTACACTGAAAAAGATATGGCCAGAATCATCCTTATTTCTATATTAATACACCATTAAAATTGCATGTCTCTATGATTTTATAAAAATCTCACTTTGAATAGAGTTTTTCCCCCTTTATTTTTGCTGCTCGTTGTTGTAACTCATAAAAAATATAGCAAATAACTAGTGGCATACTTTCTTAATCTTTTTGCGGCATTTTTTTGTGCTATTTTGCAATGCTTCTGTTATCACCGTAGGGTGCAAGTATAAAATTTGTTAGTGATATATTCCTCTGGTAAAAATTATATAGTTTTCAGAATTATAAAAAAATTTCTAAGATTACATTCTTCTTTTAAAAAAAGTAAAAGTTGTTTGTGTTTTTTCTATCATGCTATCCTCATAAAATTTGAGTTATTTTTTCCTTTATCATTATAAAAAAATTTTTTAAAAAATGTGTTTTATGCTATTTCTTTACAATTTAAATACTGTTTTTGTCTGAATATTTAACTTGCCATCACTATTATTTTAATAGGTATTCCCTATCAAATTATACATTTAATTTTGTTCCTTTATTTAAATTGTTTCAGATTCAAACACTAAACCAAGTAAGCAGTACCAACCTAATTAAACTTATTAGATTGATCAAGTATGCTCAACCAACTTTGGCTATTTATAAGTTAACATTCCCTACTCCTGGACAAACACTAATCCAAGTAAGCAGTACCAACCTAATGAAACTTATTAGATTGATCAAGTATGCTCAACCAACTTTGGATATTTATAAGTTAACAGTCCCTACTCCTGGACAAGTTGTTCAGCAGCGACCAATGAAGTAAGTATTGTGTCAATTAGAATACTGCTCTTATTTTAATTTTTCTCCCATATAATTTAGACCATCAATAGATCTGCTCATAGAATAACCTCATTCTTACTTATGTGCTTTTCTTCAGAGCATCCCACTTTTGCTTATTGTAATGCCCTGTATTTCACTTTAGAATTCAGGGCACTGATTTTTTTTTGTAATCATCGTTGAACAGCTGATCTAATTTTTAGTTAACAACTACTAATGTTAAACTCTGTTACTTTGTAATTTTGAACCCAATCCAGAAGACAAGAGAACTCCAGAATCAAGTATTGTAATCAGTATTAAGTAGTTTATGCCTTCTTGGAGAACTTTTTCATAGAACTAACCAGCATTTGTGTTGCAAGGAGAGGAAAACCTACCACGGTTAGTCTGACGGCAAGGGGACTCTAACCCATAATCCGTCTACCTCAGAGGATATTTTGTGTAGCAACACTGTGGTCGATGCAGAATTCATATAGCGATGCCGGTTGCAAAATTCATATTGACCAGCCATCTCTGGGATTTGAACCCGGTTCACCTCATTGGGAGACAAACCCTCTATCCACTGAATCTTCAATGTCTCTAATACTGTCCAGTGTTACCCAGTCAAATTTTATTTTAAGACCATTCAAAGTGTTGTTCTTGCCCTGCTTGTGTGATTTTAATATAAATGTGGCATTGCGCTCTTGATAATCAAATGTGGAAATGGAATCACTAGTTTTTCTCTAACTTTTGTTTCTTTGAACTGATTTTCTTTTCTTTTTTCACTGCCATGTTTAAATGTGTGATTTCTATGGTAGTCATTAGTATCATTGCTAAATTAGGAGCCTAACTTTGTTAAGTGTAAAAAAAATTTCCGAAAGTAGTACAAGAATTGAATTTAATGTCAATTTTAATTATTTATCTTTTTTGACAGAAAATTTTCATTTAGCTACTTTTGCCAACAGATTTAATTTTTTTATTTTGCTAATTTCTATTTTATTAACTCATGGTTAACCTGCCTTTTAAGCACCAAAAAAAAAGTTTTGTTTAGTATTGCAATTGTTTTATTAGTATGTAATTATTGTGTTACATATGTTGTTGTTTTTAAATATTTTGAGTCTGTCTTTCCACTTTAATTATGACACTATGAATTACTGCTGTTATTCAATTCACCCGTGTATGAATATTTTTTTCAGCATACAAACTGTTCGCTCCAAGGAAGAAATGAAAGTTTTAGAACATCTTGTTTGAGTGGTATGACAGTTTTATTTATTTTCTTAGCACTATCTCAACTTCAGTTAAGATAGGGTGGAGAGAGTTTAAAATATAACTGATGTAGAAAGTGATTTTTTATTTTGTGATTGTGTCTATATTGAAGAAGACTCGTATGTGTTTTTAATTCAATTCACATTTGATGGAGTTTTTTGTACTGCACTGATTGGTGTAGGGAAATTAAAAAAATCTCCCTCATGCTCAACTATATTGTATGTAATTTATGTTAATTTTTTCCCAATTTCTGAATCAGTTTCTTTTCAAATTATATTTAATCTTGCAAAATTGAAAGGTAAGTCTAAAACATGTTTGATTAAAAGAAATATTAAAGCAAAGTTTTGAAAGATTTTCAGATATATTTCCTAACATTTGCTAACCAAAATTACTTACAAACTAAAATATAGGCCTAGTGTAGTCAGTAATAAAATTTTCTGCTTCATATAACAACAGGATTAAAGTCATTTTTAAATAATTTTATAGATTTTTTCTTTAAATATTAGTAATAATAACTGAAAAAAATATTTTTAGAATCTAGATGTACAATAAAAGATCTTTATAAAGTAAGCATTGAATGCTGAGACTTTTGCGTTATATAGAAGTTTGTGTTATATAGATTTATTCACACATCATTAAATTTAAATTCTAAGCATATTAAAGGATAGATCAATATTAATATCTTACAATAGTTAATATTAATATCTCCATTAACATAGAGTATTATTTTCAACATCTATACATGTAAGCTCTAAATGCCTTATAATATTTCAATGCTATTTATTACAATTTAAATACTGTTCATTATAATTTTAAACTTTATATTGTGTCAGTACATGGTTGAACCAATTTTCAAGAATCCTGCATTGCAGGTATGTTTATTGCCTTCATAATAATTATTATAGTATAGATTATTAAACTATATGGAAAAAGAGTAACAGTGAATGTTTCAAGTAACTAAAAACGTTCTTTCAGCTATTGTTTTATTCTGTAATTAAATGAAAAAGTTATGTGTTTGCGAGATATTTCTATGCAGACTTGTTCTAATGTGAAACAGTCAATCAGTTAAAAGTGTTTAACTATAGTCATAATATTTTTGTAAATACAAAACCTCTTTTGGTTTGATAATTTGATAAGATAGAGTATGTCTGTATTTCAGATTCTAGCAAATTCTTTTCTTGCCACCTCCCACATATTTGCAACAATGCCACCTCCCACATATTTGCAACAATGCTGGTAGAATATCTTCTAAAAAGGATGGAAGAAATGGATGTAAGTAATATTTACTGTGATAACTTTTACAAATAATTTTGTTTATTCTTTTTTTTTTATTTTTTTTTTTATTTTTTTTTTTTTTTGCAAAAAATTATTTTAACATATGTGCCTCACGAAATTAAATGTGTATTGGTGAATTTTCAATATGCAAAATAATAATTATATTAAAAGTGATAAATGCTTATATATTTACTTATTATGAAGCATAACTGTTAACACTTATCTATTTAGCATTATCTGCATTGTCATTGAACACATTTTACATTTTTTTGATCTATTCAATTCCTTTATAAACAGTTATTTTCTATAATGTTTAAACAAATAATTGTCATTTGGGTACTGATGATAGACAGCAGTGAACGTATATTTGTTAAGTAGGAATTTCGTTTAAAATATTTTTTGTAAAATGAATTTCTTAAGGTTTTGTGATTAACAAATATATTTTTTACATGTGTAAAAAAAACTTACTCTGCACATTTTATTTTAACAAGTTAACTTATTTCATAACATTATATATTCTTCATGGCAAATATGGACAGATCTAACTTGTACTTGAAGCGTTTTGAACTGGTTTTTGGATCAGTGTCTTGTTTCCTGCTTAAAATGAGGAAATGCTAAAAGTAATTTTTACATTCTTTAATAATTACTTGTATTTAAAAAAATATTTTAAATATACTTTTTTGTTGTTTTTAATTCTTAAAGTAACCTTTTTTTCCCTTTCTAGCCCTATTTACATCAAATAGTAAATAGATCCATGGAGCTAGCTTTAAGTGCTAAAGAACCATATAATTATTTCCTTCTTTGTAGAGCCTTGTTTCGGTCTATAGGAGGTGGTAGTCATGATTTGTTGTATCAATAATTCTTACATTTATTACCAAATTTATTGCAAGGTAAGTAAAATAGGTTGTTTTTTTTTATTTATTCATCACAATTTTTTTCTCTCTATTATTTAGAAAAAAAATTTTTATTCTATCAGTTCAAAACTTTAAAAAAATTCTAATTGCATCTTTTGCTTATGCTTTTCTGGGAATGGATGATCTTAAAAATTTAAAACTATATTTGTGGAATCGCTAAAATGAAATTAAAATTAGTTATATTTCTCATGAATTAAAGGTATTATTAAATTTGGTATGATAATTTTGGCAATGGTGTTTTAAACAATTAACTGACCACACCTATTACACTCTCACCTCCCACTCTTTTGTCTTGAGGACTGAAATCAATGGGCTGAATTCTCTCCTGGAATTAATATTTATTTGTAATTTTTTTAAATCAAGTTTTCAAAGCAAATTAAAAAACATATTCAAAACACACAAAAATGGATTTGAAACTATTTCTGGATGTTGGCATGCTTCTAAATTTCAAGTTATAAAGCAATAAAAGAGCATATACATATATCCAGTACAGAATTTTTTTTTCATATACTAAACTCAAATTTTTGGAGAAATAAGTTATTGGTAGTATGTATATCATATATGAGTTCAAAATGTAGAGAAAACATGGAAAAAATTGCAGAATAATGAATAAAGAGAAAAAGAAAATTATTTTAAAAAAAATTAATAGAAATCTGAAGAAAAAAAAATATATATATATATAATCTTTTCATCAGCTCACACAATTATATCCGCAAAAAAAAGCGCTTTCTAATGTCGTATCAATATTGCCAAAGCAGAATATATCAATACAATAGCATGAAGAGCACTTAAAAAAAGCACTCTTTTTTGCAGACATAATTATGAGAGCTGATGAAGAAATATCTTCTTTTTTTCTGGATTTTTATAATTTTTTTAATAATGTTCTTTTCCTCTATTTTCATTATTTTGTAATTTTTTCTCATGTTTATTCTTGTTGATTTGTATTGTATTTTGAACTTATTTTATGAGTTCTATATACTTGCAGCTTATGCACAGCATTGAAATCTATTGATTTTCTTAATTTCCTTCGTTTCTCTCTCTCTTTTTTTTTTGTAGTTGTTGTTGTCCTTTTTGTGAACTTATTTATTCTTATATATATATATATATATATATATATATACTTCAATTAAAAATCATTAAATCTAAAAAATCTATTTTCCCTATTTGTCTAATATTTATGCAACCATCTACTAAAAACTTCAAAAAATAATAATAATATATAAAAAATACCAATGACACGCTTTGATTACATAAATGTGGGTAACAGTAAAGGTTAGCATAAGGAGAGAAAAAAAAAGAGCCTAAANATATTTATTGACATAATTTTACATAAATTGTCGACCTAACAAATCAAAAAAATTTCGAGTATTCTTAAATAACATAATAAATATTCACTGAAAGTTATTTTTTGCATGGAAAAGTTATTTTTTCGCTTTATGAGTTCTAGAGATATGGCATAATATGCAAAAAGTAAAATTTAAATTAAGGGGCCCAAACTTTGGAGTGCTCACTTGACCAAACTAATGGCACCATGTTTCCTAAATTGCTGCTACCGCCTATAATATGGGGTCAAAAATCTGAATCCGTCAAAGATGTTTATTCAGAGAAAATACGTTTTTGTGCCTGACTTCGTTACTTAAAATTAGCATATTTGAGGTCACCCCTCGAGCCATTAAGACAGCTTCCTAAGATGTGAAAATTTGATCATTAAATCAAAAGTAAAGTTATTCAGGGTGGTCCTTTTTTTGTGCACTGCACATAAATATTTCCAGTATTAGTAAACTAATGTTAATTATATTTTAATGTATATTAGTTCACTGATTAATCAGCCAATTATAATTTATAAAACTATAAATGTTAGTTTAAATGAGTTAATAATTTTTTCAATCAATTATTTAATTAAATTGATATCATATTTAGTACGGTCATCTGAATAAATTTCCTAGTTACATGATATTTTATTATGTTAAATAGCTTTAGTTTGTTTACTTTCGGTACTATGCAGCTCAGCATCAATCAAAAGAATAGTTTTGAATTTTGGTCTTATTTATAGAAAACTGAAAAAGGAACAGTTTATTTTTCCAATTTTTTTTTCTTTCAAAAACTGCCTTCAAAACTTTTTTTTGTTGTAATTGCATACTTTAGGGAAAGGAGCAGTTAAAATGGGAGTAAATAAAAATTTATTTTATATATAATAAATAGGATGATTGTTAAGTGTTTTCTATTTAACACCTTTTTCATTTATAATTATTTAATATTATCTTCATCAAAATTTGGATTTTTGACTATAATTGTCAAAACAAAAAGGGAGTTAAATATCAAAATAATTCAAGAATATAATTATTCGATCGCTTGTAGTTTTATATGTATGTTTATTTATAAATACTTCTTATTTATAATAGTTAATAATTATCCTTACACTAAAATTTTGGGTTTTACACTTCTTGTCAAAACTGTTTTTTTTGACCTGACGGATAAATATGGTCAAAATCGAATAAAACCGTCAATTGTCAAAAACTTTCCAATCCTGATTAAAATTTGATGCTGGAAATGGAAACTAAAGTCTTTATATAGATCTTTTTTTTTTTAATTATTATTATTCAGAAGTCTCATTTAACGTTTAAGTTGTCTCCTTACTTTGTTATTACTGTATATTACCATATTCCTCACTTATACTACCATACCTCATGATTATTACATTATTTTAGCAATGATTAAGTTGTCAAATAACTTAAATAGTTTTATGTAAAATTATCATGAATTTCTATTGCTTGAAATGGAAACCTTCATCCACAGTGAAGATATTTTTTATTTAGACATTTTTCAACCACCATGTTTAAGTATAGCTTCTGCTGATGAGGGCATACTTATGATTTTTGTCCTTTACTTTTGTTAAGAACAATTTTTAATTTTTGGTATTCCATGTTATAATATGATTAGATGTTTTGCTTTTATTTCCTTGGTCATTGCAGCTAGGAAATGTTTTTGTCCTTTTATCCTTAAGAAATTTTTTTTTCTAAGAAAAACATACCTAAATTATCTAGTTTCATTAAAAAAATAATTACGCTTTTTCTAAGCAAATGATTCTTCTACTCAATTTAAATTGCTCAGTGGGATATCAATTGTAAATATTAATTATCGCAAACATTATGACTAATTTATAAACAATATTTGAAGACCATACTGGTAAATGCGTTCATTGACAGTTTGAAAACTCAGAATTTTTTTAAAGTTTAAACTGTATGTGCAATATTAAGTATAAACTGTATGTGCAAATTATATGTGCAATATTATGTTCTGCCAATGAGTAATTAGTTGAACTAAATGTTTTATAAACAGTTGTCTAGTGTTTGTGTGGTTTCGTAAGATAGTTTTTTCCCCTTGATTTATTAAAACGTTTAGCACATTTTTCCGCTAAACTTTTTTACTAATTCAATTTTAACTAATTAAATTAATCAATTTTATTAATTTTAATTTTCAAAAAATTATTGCAAAATTGTTAGCTGTAATAATGTAGAAAATGTAATGTAATGTAGGAATGTAAGACTGAAGTTGCTCAAATTTTGTTTGTTTTTTTCTTGAAATACACAGAGATGATTGTGCTCCAGAAAAAATCAGGATTTGCAGATTTTTTGCTAACTATGATCCGGAAGTTTCTGGAAATCCAAGATCCAGAAGTTTCACAAAATCATCGCTTACATTTATGTCTAAAAATTCTTGTATATTTAATTTAGAAATGTTAGAACTAGAATTTATGCTTGGCATCTTTTTCATTTGTAAATATTTTTTCTGGTAGAATAATAAGTGTGATTCGAGATAAAAGTAAACTTACACATAATTATTCATTTAAATTATGCTGCTTGTAGTTTATTTAGAATTTCATGTTTTGAAAGTATCAATAATTTAAATTTATGACGACATTAATTTTTTTAAATATGTTATTAATGATTTGACTCAAAAAATTTTCAGGATTTTTGAGTTATGCTCACAATTACCCCTGAATATGTAATTTTATCAAACTAAATTTGCTTCTTTTAGTTATTATCTATTTTAAACTATATTTATTAGCCAGAGATTTTCACAGATTTTGTAATTTTTTTAAAATTTTTACTAAATTAAAAAGTTATTGATTTGTGTTCTGTGTGGTTCACTAGTATTCTTGTGAAAAAAACTCAATAATATTATCATTTATTTCCAGCCTCTTAGTCGGGAGTAAGATCACATTAAAAGACCCATGAATGCTTTTATGATATTCAGCAAACGCCATCAAGCTCTTGTTCACCAACGTCATCCAAATCAAGATAATCGAACAGTGAGCAAAATCTTAGGGGAATGGTGGTACGCATTAGAGCCGGAACGAAAGCAGAAATATCATGATCTGGCATATGAGGTTATTTGTTTAATTGCTTTTTTACTCTTTTTAGTTTATAAAATTTCCCCATTAATTTTTTTTCTTAGGGAGGTAAAAAACCGTGAGTCCTAAAACTTGAAAATTCGATCATTAGATCAAAAGTAAAGTTATTCAAAATAGTCTTTTTTTTTGTGCAATGTAAAATATATTTTCAGGGTATCTGTGCACCTGGAAAGTCATGAATTTGGGTATTGAACAAAATTTGTCATGATTTTAGCTATTTTAAAAAAAAAAAAAAAAAAAATCATGGAAAGTCATGGGTATATGTCGCCAAAAAATCTAATTTTTAAAATGGAATTTACCTTTCATCCTAATCTCATTGTTCTTATGTTCCAAACATCTAAATTTGTATCAAAATCCCCAGCTCATTGTCATTCTATTAAAGTATAAAATGTCTTTATCCTGTACTTTAAGAATTATGGTGTTCTTTCAAAAAATAAAAGATGGAGCATCATTTCTAGAGCAAATTATTTTTTAAACTTCTGTGATTTCAGAATTTATTTATTAGCAACTTATTATTTTATTTTATCAATTTAAAATTCTAGTTTAGGCTTTATATATTACTTACTTTAAAGAAGAAATAAAACAGCTTTAAATAACTACGTATAGTATTTAGTCATTTGCTTTTGTACTTTTTTTCAGCTATTTTATTGCTTCAACTTTTTCTTTACTCTATTTATTTAAGTTTAAAATCAATAAATATGAAGATGTAGAGTATAACAGTCAGTCATTTCAATTAATGTTATTATAATTGCCCTGTTACGGTTGGGTATAGAATTAAAAATGAAAAAGTTGCAAAAATGATAACAATTTAGAAAGAAAAAAAAAACTAAAAATTAATGGCCGGGTGAAACATATAGTTAGTACATTTTTGAAGTGGTGACGCAAAACATTTATGACCCATGAGGAATAGTAATTTTTCTTCTTCAAAAAAAACAAGTTCCAGAAGATAACAAGTATATTCAAAAAAACATACCTTCTTATCCATAGAAGCTACCTGAGTTTAGGATGAAACAAACAGAAAAATCCTTGGCTAGTGAAAATGAATAAGTCCAGTTCTTTTTTTTGAAAAAAATCATTGTTGTTTTATTGGAGAAAAACATGTTAAACAAATCATCATGTTGAGGCACATCATGTAAGGAATCATCAATGGCACATCCTAAAATTGTGGTAACTAGTGATAACTGGAACAGGAGTTAGAAAATGACTGTGAAGGATTTCCATCACTGGCGGTAGTTGGTCAGCGGATCATCTTAAAAGCTGGNCACGCAACAGCGCGACGTGGAGTATGATACTCTCGAATTTCGAATGCAATCGTCATCTTTCGCGCGCTCTTTTTATAAGAGACAAAAACTTAATGGTTGAAGTTGTAGTACATGTTGTGCAAGTTAAAGTTAAATTATCTAAAAATTACGAGTTGAGACGAAAAATTGATTATACGTTAAAAGTTACGGTTGAGAAACACAACATACACGCGGAGATGAAAGATGCCGACAACCGGTGCGAATTCTCAGAAACGAAGAAGGGTGGAACGTTCTCGAAAGAAAGGGGCTCTTCAAGGAGCTGGTAAGGAATTTTAGGGGGAGAATGTCCAAATTGCGCTACCGCTTAAGGGGCTAAAGAAAGATGATGAAATAAAAAAATGTATTACAAAATTATAAATTAAGTCAAAAGAATTAGTATTATTGATTAAAAAAAACAAGATATTTAGAAAATTAGGCTGTGACCTAATGTCACGATAATGTTTTTTTAAATTTATTGTTGTGTTTACGGGATAAAATAATAACTTTGGTAAGTCATGAAAAATTCTTGGAATTATTCATGTAAAGTCATGGATTTTAAAATCTAAAATGTAGCAGATACCCTGTATTTTATATGTAAAATATATTTTGTAATTTTATACGCAAAATATTTTCAGTATTAGTAAACTCACGTTAACTATATTTTAATGTATAGTTAGTTCACTTATTTATCAACTAACTATAATTAATAAAAAATCTAACTGTTTAAAGGAGTTAATAATTTTTTAATCAGTCAATTCAAGTATTTAATTAAATTGCTAATAATGTTTAGTATGGTCATTTGAATAAATTTCCTAGTTAAATGTTATTTTATTATGTTAAATAGCTTTAGTATGTTTACTTTCTATACTATGCAGCTCAGCATGAATTGAAAGAATAGTTTTGAATTTTGGTCTTATATATAGAAAACTAAAAAATGAACAGTTTTTTTTCTCTCACAAACTGCCTTCAAAACTTTTTTTTTTGTTATAATTGCATGCTTTAGGGAAAGGAACAGTTAAAATAGAAGCAGATAAAAATTCATTTTATATATAAAGAATAAGATGATTGTTGAGTGTATGTTGAATGGTTGTTTTGTAATATTTTCAGCATGCTTACTCTACAGAGTGACAATCATTGAGTTAGAAATAAATAACTTGAACCTAGAAAAATTATTGGCGAAATTATTTTATAAAATATTCTATAACTTAGCAATTACCCCCTTGTAATTTGTTTTATTGGAGCTTATGTGCTTTAAAGTTATCATCTGCAGTATAATAATTTTAAAACATGATGTTTTAAGTTTTTTTTAAATGTATTAAAATAAAAGTATATTTGATGTGCATTTTTAATATAAACTTATTAATGTTCCTGATTCTAGATTGCATTATGAATAATTAACATAAATTCAAGTATTTAATAGAATAAAGGATCTAAAGTAATTTCATTATTTTTAATTACATTTTGTCCCTGTAAAAAAAATTTTATTATGCTCTTTTTTCTTTCCTTTTCATAATGGTTATAAGAGTAATAATGCATATTTAAAACTTCGAAATGTCATTAATGTATATAATGTCTTAATTTCATTATTAAGGATTATAATGGGGTTTTTAAAACTCAAGTGCCTTGGCCGAGAAAAGAAAAATTCAACACTTAAAGATTTTATTGAGAATTTCAAGGGGTTTAATTTTATTGAAAATTTCAAGGGGTTTAATTTTATTGAAAATTTCTAGGGGCTTTATTTTATTGAAAATTTCTTGTTTACTCCCAATTATTCCTGTAAAAAAATAGTTTTATATAGTTCCTTTATACATTGAGCAAACCTTTTAAAAGAATTCATTGTTACTCCTAAAATTTCATTAAATAAGAATTTAGAGCATGCTAGTTTCTTAATTCTAGGAGAAAGAGGGTACGTGGGTTTAGCCAGGGTGCCTACAGACTCCTTATACTCGTTAGAAACTCCTTGGAAATGAAAAAGTTTCCAAGGAGTACTTGGAACTACTTAAATTTCTAAATTAGTTTTTAGAAACTGCTTAGATTATTGCGTTGCATAGATGAACTTACTAAGTACGTTAGTGAATTTGCTGTCCCAGCAGGGAAATTAAATTATATGACTTAGATGTCAAAATAGTTTAAGAAAACTTTTAAGGAAAAAAAAATTGAATTGCAAGAGGTAGAAGAAAAAAATAACAGCAGATAATTTTAATGTTACATGTTACAAGCAAACTTAATAAATAATTTATCGTGATTTTTTTTTGACATGAAATGCTTTAGATTTTCTTATGTATTCAAATTTGAAAAAATAAGATTGGTAAGTTTTTATGTTAATCTTTAACATCTGTACTTTAAAAAGATTTATTAAAATATTTGAAACTGGAAAATGTATTTATGTGTAAGAGTGATAGCTTTATTTTTCTTGGTGAAGTTTGACAAAGTCAAAATTTATTTCAAAAGGGCTAGAAAAAAATATGCAAATTAAACATTTTTGAAAGTTTATTATAATAACAGCTTTTTAATAAATAAAAAAAAAACTTTCTAGTTATCTTTTACACAAAGTTTATTAATTTTTGATAGGTCCTTAAAATTTTGGACTCCTTGGATTTCTTCTTCTGATCTCTGTATGAACCCTTGTTTAGCATGTACATGGGGATAATATGGCAGCTGAAATATTTCTGTTTTTCTCTGCCAAAATTTATCCGTAAATTTTGGCAGTTTAGCAAAACTGATAGTTACCTGATGATGGACATATAAATGCAGTGTGCAGACATAGTATCATTAAGTTTTCTGTGATAATAAGGTTGTTTAATTCCATACTACTTATTTCAGTTGGGCATTTATTTAATTGCATTAATTTTGCAAAGTATTCAGTTTATTTACAATTTATTTAATTGATGCTTTAGTTAATATATTTTTATTGTATCTAAACTTTTAAAGAAACATTAAAATTTTTTATTTTTTAATCGCAAAAACATCTTTCTATCTTATATATATTTCTATTACCTTTAGTTTTGTAAGCAAATTCATAATAAACTCAAGTTAATAAATGGAATAAAAAGTTTTGTGTAAAAAATTAAGAAGATAGTTCTAATGAGAAATATTTTATTTATTTCAGGTTAAGGAGGCTCATTTCAAGGCATATCCTAACTGGAAATGGTGTAGTCCGGACCGTAAAAAGTCTAGCATCAGCTCCACCCCCAAAGATAGCCCAAAACCTCTTGGCAATGATGAACCTCTTACACCATCGTTAACTTCAAGTAATCTTTCTGGTTTGAACATATTTTTCATTTTCAAATATGCAAAGTATCCATATTACTGAAATAATTTTTTATAAAATAAGGTTTCTACTTTTAAAATAATTTAGTATCAAAAGTTTGTTATTATATAACAAGAATATAATTATGTATATTTATGACAGTACAATATTCCATATATTTTAAAAAGGTGAGAATTAAGAAAAATAATTAAAAAACTTGTTTCGAAATTAAATAAAAAGTTTAACTATTTTATTTTTGTTTCTCTAGAAACGTCATTATTTCCATTGCGATGTGCTTAATTTTTATTAAAGAAGGTTTAAAGTTGCTATTCAAAAAAGTAATTCGCATAATATTTTAAAAATTAATTTTTTTGGATGTTAATAAAAATTTCTTTGCTTATTTTTTTTATAAAACGATCGATTGGTGCATTTGAAAATCTATTGTAAAATACTGACCAATCGCTGATAGATGTTCTCCCCTTTTCACTATAATATAAAAATTCTAATATAGCACTTAATATTTCACTCTAATATAATGCTAACAAATCACCCCAACCCGTATTGCCTACACATGACTGTGTCAAGCTCATGTTTCACAAGAACATAAAATTCCATATCTTTATTTGTTAAATAATTATGTTCAAATTTCAGGAATTTTTTTCAATTACTTAAAAAGATTTTTTTAATTTTTACAAAACTCTTTGTGTGATATGAATCAATATATAGTTTTATAGAAATTAATCTCGTTTTGCTCAAAATTAAAGCATTAAATGGCCATTAACGCACTATTTCTTTTATAATTTATTATATCAGTCGTAAATAAATCAAATGATTTTATAGCTAAAAAATTCTTAATTAAATTTCACATATGGAATAAATAAAACATTTCACACATTCCTCTTTTATTCTTACTCCTCATTAAGTTGCATAATTATCCGCGAACATCTCTAAATTTCGGAATACTTTATTTCAGATTGTTGGAAATGTATGATAAAAATACAAGTAAAAATAATGAAGTTAACCTTAAATAGAATATTGAGAATAAATTAAATAGTGATAATAAATTTTGCCTTCAAAATCAATCATTTAAGCATATCACCCTGCTCATTCGATTTAGAGAATGTTTATTCGTTTAGAGAATTATTTTTCTCTCATACCTTCGCAGCAGAAGAAAGGGGGAAAAGAAATTATAATTCTGTCGATCCTTGACTATTTGCATGGTGATTTCGTGAGGGAAATCTGTCAACTACTTTTTTGGCCGAAAGGGCTTTTGTGCTATTGTTGCATTCTCGCAAACTGTTTTTCATCTGCATTGTTAGTTCTTTAAGTTATTATTGATGGTAAATTTTAAAAATAGATCTCTGCAAAAGATAAGAAGATGAAGGGTAGTAATTAAATTTTAGATAATTTATTCAGCAAAATAAAGTCCGGGTATCTGCGCACCTGGAAAGTCATGAATTTCGGTATTGAACAAAAATTATCATGAAATATCATGATTTTAAATAGTTTTTTTTTAAATCACGGAAAGTCATGAATTTAGGTCGCCGAAAAGTCTAATTTTTGAAATGGATTTTACTCCCTCCCCTCCAATTTCATGGTGTTTCGAATATCTGAATTTCTAACAAAATTCCCACTCACAGTCATATTTGATTAAAATGTAAAATGTTTTTGTCATGTTTAAAAATTACGGTGTTCTTTCAAAAAATGAAAGAAAAGGCATAATTTCTAAAGTGAATTATCTTTTAAACTTCTGTGATTTCAGAATTTTTGTTATTTTTATTTTTTTTTTTTTTTTATTTTATCAATTTAAAATTCTCGCTGAAGCAAGTCAGTCATTTGCGAATTTTTTTTAATTCCGAAATGTGAACAGAAAAATCAGGAGTATTTCTTTCCTTCCTGATAAACAAGAAAATTATCTGTAGAATATAATTCTGCAGATAAAAAGAAAGAATTATTTCCTTTTGTATTTTTTTCGGCTAGTTTATTGCTTCAACTCTTTCATTACTTGGTTTTTTTAAATTTAAAATCTATAAATAATACAGTTTTGGTTATACCTATCATTTCAATCAATGCTATTATAATGCTTTTCTAAATTTATTGCTGTGTTTTTGTCAGAGAAAATAATAACTTCGTTAAATAATGAAAAATTCTTGGAATTAGTCATGAATTTTGAAAATCTAAAATGTAGCAGTTTCCCTGTAAAGTTTTCAAGTTCAAGTAGTAGCCAAAAAAGTAGTAACCACACGTACCAAAATGTAATGTTTTAAATCATAAACACTGCGACGTATCTCCCCAAAATTAGGGTAATGGGGAAAAGTGCATTTGATCTATTGGTGTTTCAATTATAGAAAATAAAACCTGCTAATTTCAGTAAGGCACTGTAAGTTTCTTTTTTAGTTTTTATTTAAAATACTAAGCGTAAAAATGCACTTGTTGAAGAATTAAAGATATCTCTCTACCTAATTGTAGTGCTATGTAATTGCAGTCTATGATTGAAAACAGTGTGATGCTTTCTTTTCTTTTTTTTTTAGCTGAAAAAGTATCTGCGTCAGATGATTTTTTGCTACCTTTTAGTGTTCCTGCACTAGCCAAGAAAGCTGAAGATCCAACTATCAAGTCAAACAAATACTTTAATTTTGAGGTACTGGCAGTTCACTTATGTTCCGTTTGATTTCTACTCAATAAAAGAGAGTGCACATTTAAGTATTTTTGATAAAAACATACTTTAGCTCTTTTTAATTGGAGGATGCAGCGAAAAAAATTGTATAGACAACTTAATATTTTTCTTTCGTGTTTCTAATGGGCTCCATTGACTTGTGCAAGTTTACATGGCAAAAGCAGAAACTTAAAATTTTTTTTAATCTGCATATCTTATGCAGAAATTGAAAAAGCAGACTGATATGATGATTTAAAAATTTAATTTAAAATGCTGTGTAAAAGAAAACCAACTGACTTACATGTAAATAAAAATCTTGTTGCAATTTTTGATCTGTTGTTGAATACAATTGTTGTTGAATAACAATTTACATCAGAATAGTTCAATCTGTTTAATTTAATGTTGTGATTTAAAATCGCAACAAGTTTAAACTGAAAAGTTTTCTGTATTTTTTGCTAGCCGTGATCCGGAAATCCAACGTCCGGAAATTTCAAGAAATCATCGATCACATTTATGTATAAAAATTCTTGCTTATTTTATTTAAAAATATTCAAACTATAATTTATACTTAGCATCTCTTTCATTTGTAAATATTTTTTCTGATAGAATAATAAATGTGATCAGAGATATAAGTAAACTTATACATAATTATTCATTTAAATTATGCTGCATATAATTTATTTAGAATTTCCTGTTTTGAAAATATCAATGATTTAAATTTATTAAGACGTTAATGTTTTGAAATGCGTCATTAATGATTTTTCTCTCGAAATTTTCAGGATTTTTGAGTTGAGCTCACAATTGCCCCTGCATAAAAAAAGCACTATGTTTCATCTGTTACAATTTTTTTTTTATCTTGAGAGTCTTTGAAGATTACTCAGGTAAAATGCAGAATTTCATTTTTGCACGACGGTCTAAAGACTACATTACAAATATAAAATTCCCTTTGTCAAAAATGATATGCACTTAACACCGACAGTACCAATTTGAGATTGCTGTGTGTTTTCGTTATTACTGCTGTTTACGTTGCTGTTGCTGTTAAAATATTTCTCTTCCAACGAACACCTGCGTGATAGTCATGGTGCGTCACGTTTTTTAAAAAGTGTTTAAAGGTGCTTATTTTTGTATTTTAAAAGCCCTTTAAGGTGCTTTTTTCATTGAGAGTTTTTTTTTTTAAAAAATGCTTAATTTTCCCTTTTCGAGAATGAGATATTTTTCTTTACTATGTCATTTTCACCACGTATTGTGCAGAAATGTCCTTTTCACATTGTTCTATTCAACGTTTTCACAATTCATTCAACCACAATCTATTTTGGAGAACCACCGGTTCATAATGTATATAAGTGCCAATCATTTTACATGTTTGATGAAATACTTGAGAGTTTGCATGTGCGTCTACATGAGCTGGGTTCGGTGAGATTATTGTCAGTCTTCATTTTCCACCCTCTGATATCGAACCGAAAAATCCCTTGGTCTTTCTATAATGGCTTATATAATCAAGAAAAGAATTCTAATTTTTTTTCTCATGATCATGTAAAGACTTTGAAAATTATTTTGCATTTTTTACTGTATATAGTGTTTAAAAATATTTTTTGAGTGCTTAAGAAATACTGAAAAGGTGCTTATTTTTTTTGGAAAGATTTGGCTATGTGCCCTGTAAGTGACCATTCTAGAAATTTATTGACTCTATCTCGTAAACAGTGTCAAATGACCTATTTGTTTTCTAGTTGCAATTTTATTAAATAATTTTTGTTTAAGCAATATCAAGCTTTCCATTTCTTTTAGAAGCAGCCCAGATCTCGCTCTCTATCACAGCTGCCTGATCCCTGGCATGCCAGTCTGTTGACGAATTCTTTTGATTGAAGCAGCTCTGAAAAAAAGGTTTCAGATGATTTAAGACAGGACAGTGCTGATATTTCTGGTTTTGCTGAGAAGTCTAAAAAAAGAAGAGAGATGGATAATTTGCGAGGGGATTCTGACACCACCAGTGATGATGAAAGAATGGTGATATGTGAGGAAGAGGTAGATAATGGTATGTTTGCACCAAATGTCTATCTTAATATATTTCAAAAATGTATTTCATTTTTTAATATTCATTGTGTTTCGTTACATACATTTTTACTGTATCTAAATTTCATGCACTGTTAACTCTTTTTCTTCTTCCATATATTGTACATAAACCAGAGTTGGCAAGTTTTTGTCAATTGACGGTTTTATCGAATATTTAGCATGTTTTAACTGTCATGTCAAAAGCCTCTTTTTGACATTGTTGTTGGCAGTTGGCAATTTTGGTCTATGGATAATTATTAGCTATTATAAATATAAAGTATTTATAAATAAACATGCATATAAAATTGCAAGTGATTAATCAATTATGTTCTTGAATTATTTTGACATTAAACTCTTTTCAATATGACAATCACTGTCAAAAACTCAAATTTTGGTGTAGAAAATATTAACTAATTATGAATAAAAATGTGTAAAATTGCAATTTATCCAATCCATTAATTTTGTTATTGAAAATAAAAATTCAGAAACAATCATCTTGGAAGGGAAAAAAAACACTTTGCAATTATCGTATTCATTTCATGTTAAATCAATTTTCATTTATTTTCATCTTAACTCCTCCTTTCCCCAAAGCATGTGATTACAAAAAGAAGTTTTGAAGCCCTCTGTACTCCGAATTCATTTTTCAGCTTTGTATGAATGATATCGAAATTCAAAACTGTTCTGCATAGACTAGAATGTAGACACATTACAACAAATACAACATACTAATGTAACACATAAAGTTTTTTTTTATAATAAACTAAATATTGATAGAAACTTAATTAAACCCTTGAATTGATTGATTGAAAAAAATTGCAAACATTTGTGTTTTTCGTCAATTATAATTAGTTGACTTATTGGGGAATATATTATAGCTATGATTTATTGGATACATTCACATACATTTAGTGGATATATTCATGTACATGTAAGGGGTGCATAAAATTCTCAGTGTCTAATATTTTCTCAGAATATAGTTTTTTTAGATCTAAATTTCCCCAAAAGTTTTAGTTATTTATTTTATTTTATTTATTTAAATACGTTTTTAGTACAATAATTTTTTCAAAATATTTTTGAAAAGTATAGTTTATACATTGTTAAACATTTTTGATAATAAGAACAAAGAAAAAAAATCACGGCAGCCACATTGCGGAAAGAAGCATTGTTTCATGTTGATGCGCAAGAGAGAAGGATCCCTGCATATCAAACAAAGAGATGAGTTGATTCAGAGTACATATACTGCGGGCTCTCATAAAGGCCAGGCTTCAAGGCTCATAAAGATTGTGTGTCATCACAGCTGGCAATGCTGCAGGTTTTATGATTGAGTCAGGCCTTATTTATAAAGCCACAAAATCCACGGGCATTAAAAAACAAAAATATGGCTCTGTTGCTAGTGTTCTGGATGCATAACTCCAAGGCCTGGATTACGAAAGCTCTCACCCTTAAATGGTTCCTCCATTGCTTCATTCCCCAGGTGAAGCTGTATCTGGCTGAAAAGGACCTCCCCTTTAAGGTCCTTCTCCTGATAGACTGTGCAGGAGGCCATGCAACGAACCTTGCAATAGGACGGTGTGCCTCGAACACTACACATCTAATTCAGCCGATCGATTAAGGTGCCATTCGTGCCTTTAAAGCACTCTACCCTCGGTTTTGTAATTAACTTTATTAATTAGCACTTACACGTTTAAGTAAATACGTATACTGTTGTAATTTTTGTCTTAAATGTGTGAAGTATAAATACTGTTTACATATTTCAAACGTTTGTGTACCCGCATACACGAAAATTCCTATTGGCGAATCCTACTTTGCTGTTTTTCAGCTTTCGCGGAAGGTTCTGGCCCCCGTTAACCGTTAAAAACGAGGATTCACTGTAGTAATAATTAATATTAAATTAAATTTAAGGTCATAAGCTTAAGAAATTCAAACTAATAAATTCACAAATTGATATATAATATTTTTTAATTAGGAACAATTTTTATTATATTTTTTTAAATAAGAAAAATTTTTATTAAGTGACACATTTGTTAACAAATTATTGTAAAAAAATTTTTTAGACCAAAATTGTTCCCAGGGCCGCCCGATTTCTTTATTTTATTCCGAATTTCTTTTTTTATTTTATTTATTTATGTACATTTTTAGTACAATAACTTTTTCGAAATTTTTTTGGAAAGTATAGTTTATGCACTGTTAAATATTAATCATAATAAAAACAAAGAAAAAAATTAATTTAAATTAGCAAAATTTTTGAATAAATGAATATATGTGTTAAAAATAATATAAATCAAAATATATCGAAAAAGTAATAATTTATAAAATTAAATTTAAGGTCATAAGCTTGAGGAATTCAAACTAATAAATTCACAAATTGATATATAATATTTTCTAACTAGGAAAAATTTTGCTAATTGACACATTTGTTAACAAATTATTGTAGGTTAATGTTTCAGATGAATGTTTTTTTTTTTTTAGACCTAAAATTATCCCTCAAAATCTCCTTTGTACTATCGAACATACTCTGCTTCCCTGGGATCATAAGTAATAACAACAAATATTGAGAGTTTAAAAAAAAATTATTAGAAGTTTAGATCACACTATTGACAACCACTTTAGTTTTATTTAATCTAAAATATTTGCTTAAATTGTGGCATAAAAGAATTAAAATAAATATTTAGATTGTTAATAATTAACCTACTCATGGTTATTAACTGTAATATAAACTTAATAGCAAATAATATTGCAAATAGTGTTAATATAAATTATATATTAATAGTATAAATTATGTAGAAAATTAATTAAAATAATGTAGAGTCCTAAATATATCCAGCTAGCACAAGCATTAATAGAAAAACAATACAACTTGTTTAAGAAAGAAATTAATAGGAGACTATTTTCGAAACATAGGAGAGTCGGTTTGTTTTTGTTGAGATTAGTTTTTTCTTCTTGTATTTTAAGTGTATACTAGCCAGTTAAGGGTATGACTATTTCTTTCTGCTTGGTTGTTGTGTGGTTAATGTTTCAGATTAATGTTTATTTTTTTTTAATAAAAACTGTCTCTTAAGTACATATTGATTCAGTGCAGCTTATATATACTATTATATTTTAATTGGGGACAATTAAACTTTAAAAAACATACCACTTACTTTAAAGGAATTCAGAGGGGGGAATCCTAAGTTTTTAAATCTTATTACTTTTAAAATCTCGCCAAACTAGGTTTCCAGTAGATATTTCAGAGAGATTATTTTGATAATCCAATCACACCAAAATTCACAATACACCAGGTTTATTTTTTAACTTCTTTATCTGCTCTTGTTTTGTATAACTTTAAAAAAACTTAAATATTGAAATTTTTTAATAATTTTATTCTAATAAGTTTAACTAAACTATAAAACTACCTAATTGGTTTGAAAATCCTGTTTTAAATTGTGAAATGTGGCTTTTATGATATTCCGTTTAAATATTCCTGACATGTATATTTACTAGTTTCAGATAAATCACGTTTATGCACTGAAGAACCACCCATCGACTTGAAGTGCAAAGAGAAGGTCACAGAAAGCGATACGGAAAGCCAGTCTGATGAAGAATCCTTGTTAGAAAACAAGGCATTCCCTCATCAGAGATTCTCACCGGTCATGAAGCATCATCCGTCTGTCGAAGTCACCCACCGCCCGAAGCCTATAAAAGCACACCCTTGTTCCAACTCCCAAACTTCATTTTCCACCAGCAATGAAAATAGTAGTTCTCCTAGTAGTGCTGTCGGCAGAACTTTCCTCAGGCCTTTGCCGACTGGATCCTGCTTTCAACCTACGGGTGCAGTCTTCAAAGATGTCCACTCTCCTAAAGTGCCTTCACTTTGTTCGATAGAGTATCGGACTCTCCCGACATGCCCATTCTCGTCTCAAAGATACCGCCTATGCTTGAAGCTGTAAACAGTGAGCAGTTCTCCCTGTCTAATCAAAAACTAGTTACTTTTGAAGAATCTCATAATTATGGTGGGGATGGCGCTAAAAGTAAGACACAAAAAACTGTTCAGTAGCTCTGTCATGGCAGTAATTTGCCTCCGCCTCTTTCGATCCCCTCCATCAATCTCACTCAAACGCATGCCAAAAATATTTCTCCTCAAGTACCGGCAGCATTTGCAGGCTCTTCAAGTCCCTGTTCGGAACGACAAGTCCAAATTGCAACTGTCCGCTTCCCTTATCCAGACATCGCAAGGCTTCTTGGTGTCCAACAGTGCCCTCGGAGCCACTCATTACAGCATGACAATCCTCAATCCATCCACGTCTAAAACTTCACCGTGCGTCTCCCCGGCTCAAACTTCTCCCAAGATTTTAACCTCCACCCTGAAAAACTTGGTCATTCCAGTTTCCAAACACAATGGCATACCCTCTTCTCCCCAGACCATGTCTGTTTCTCAAATAACTCCTACGGTTTTAGCAAATCTCGTCCTGAAAGCAAATTCCCAAGTACCTGCTCAAAGTGTGATGTCCAACCTGACATCTCCGGGTCAGTTTCATCTGTCTCCTCAATTGATATCAAGGTCTGGGGCAACTCAAGTGCAGTATCTGTTGCCATCACTTACTTTACAATCACCTACTTTAAAAGGTACTATACCACCATTTGTCTAATAAATTGTTTATACTTAATTATTCAAATAGCTTTCTATACCATTAGAACTAAATTTTACTTCAGCCAACTTAAGTAGGTTGGCAGCTGTGAAATGATTTTAGCAAAATCAAAGTTTGGTATATCTATAAACAAGTATGGTACTAGCAGAATAAAGGGGGGGGTTTTTTCAGTTCCATGTCGTAGTTTATTAAAATAAAGATAATTTTTCTTTGTAAGCATATTTCTTTCTACTTATTGGATTTTGGCACATAATTGTTTTAATGAAATCTTCTTTTTTTTTGTGCATACTTATAAAATTTCTTTAGTTTAAGAGTGTTCTACGAAAAACTCATTGAAGTAGTTTTTGCTCAACTTATTGTTTATTTAAGAATTTAAATAAGTAATGTATATGAAATATAAGCAAATTATAATGAAGGAAGTTAAGGGCAAAAATAGCTTAATATAATAAAGTGGCCTCTAAAAAAATTACCATCATTCGGCAATTGGACGGCACTGTTTATTTTAGTCATTTGGCACCCACCCTCACCACTTCTTAGTTCTTGGAAATGAATCCGCATTATGCTCATAAAAACCTTTATTTTCAATAGCTTCTGTTTATTTTTTAATAAGCATGGTGCATAGTGTTTTTAAAAAGTGCTTATTTTCGTTTTTTAAAAATCTCTTTAATGTGCTTTTTGTATTAGGTATGTTTTGTATTTATGTTATAAAAGTTTTTTCTTAACATTTTTTATTTAACTGTAATTACTGAATTTGATCCTCAACAATTTTTAAATTACCTTGTATACTATTTTATGTGTGTATTTCAAAGAGAAAATTAAAAGAAAGAGAAAAATTTGCAGTTTATAAGAAAGGTGTGCTAAAAGACAATCACTGTGCACATATTATTATCACAAGAAGTAAACTAAAAAAATTATTTGTTGATAAATAACTTGAAAGCTTTTTTCTACAATTCAAACTGGAAATTGTGAGAAAATGAACATTTAAATTCGCATTTTGTAAAAAAGGTATTTATTTTGAAATCACTTGAAAAAACTCATTAAGTCATTTTCGAAAAAAGAGAAATTCATGAAAATTTAACCAGTTGAGAATAATCCTTACAAAATAAATATTTGTACTAGTAATCAGAATTAAACCTATTAAGACAAATAATTTTATCAGCGTGCAATTACAGTAGAACCCCGCTATAGTGAACACTCTGATGTAGTGAACTTTTTTAGTGGTCCCGCCTGTACTCCTGTTCAAATAATGTTATTTTTAATGCAACAGCTGAGAATTTGGAAATTCGGTTATAGTGGACTCAAATTTCATTTCTCTAAATATCTTTTTCACTCTTTAAACTTGCAGGTTTTGGTACTGAAAATGAATGCATTCCTATCTATAGCTGAAGTAAAATCAGCCATATATGTCCTTAATATGTTTTTTCTACAGAAAATGTAGATCAAAAAAATCTTGCATTCTTTGCACATTGTAGATAAGAAAATTTGTGAACTCTATTTAAAATCAAATTGTGTTCAATCGAAAATCACAAATTTTTTTCATAAAAAGTGAAATTAAAACTAATTATTTGCTACGTAAGTACTTTTTTCATTAATTTTTGCTTTATTATCTGTTAATAAGTTAATAATTTTTTTATAACTTATGTAAAAGTGCAAACCCAATTTTCAATCATTCAACTGTCTTAATGCAGGAGTCTGTCTAGGTTTTTCTGAAAGGTACCTATTTTGGGAAAATTTAGACGTAATTTGTGAAAATTAAAAATTATATTAAAAAATCAACACAAAATATGGATTTTTCTTTTCTTATGGGATACAAAAATAAAATTTTAAGAAAAAGTACCGTTTTTCCTAAGTTTGAATTTGTGAAACTACCGTTTTTCCTAAAGTTGAATTTGTGAAGGTACCGCTAAACTGTAGTGAATATATCCTGGATAGACCCCTGGTGAATCACTAAGGGTATTTTTGTATCGGTACCTTTTTGCGCTAGTTATGTTTGAAAATTAATTTGTTAAAATCTGGGTAGAGGTTCGCTCAGACGTGGTTAATTAATGTGATATCAAATGCTTAATGTTAGGAAACATCCTTTTTTTTTCAGAGGAAAATTAATTTCAGATCTTTAACTCATTTATTCAAATCTAAACATTTGTTATTATGTAAATATCTCAAAATAACATTGCATGTTGTGTTTATAATTAGAAGTATCATTTGATTTAATAACTTTCTTAAATAAGACAGTTTATTGAAGAAAATTAGAATTGAAAATTGTTTTATTAAACCTAAGATTAAGGAATCTATTTTTTAGAAAGTATATGATTGTGTTTTTTATTATTGTTTCAAGAAATCGTTATCTTTCAAAATTATTCTTAAATAAAATTAATGCCTTATATTTTTTAAACTCAACTTGAAATAAGTAATAAAAGTAGGGGTAAATGTAGACATAAATGCTCTCATGCCAAATATTCAGGTAAATTATAGATCAATATTTATTTATAAGTTCTAATTTTAACTAGATCTAATTTGTCTCTTATTTTTGCTAAACCTACTCATTGCTACAGTTAAAACTTACAAATTTTAACATTTTATTAGAAATTAAACAAAATTATCCAGCTTTTAAAAAGTGAATAAATTTTGTCACAAACTACTCTTTGTATACAAAAAGTACTTTCAACTGACATAGTTTTTGCAACTTCATTATTTTATTTTTAAATTATAATATTTTAGAAAATTGGCAAAAAATTATAAATTGAATTTTAAATGTAATATAGAAATCAATAGTATAAATGAAGCATTATATGTTTGGAAAATTATTTTTGGCCATTTAAGTATTTCTTTCTTCCATTCAAATATTCTGAAGTCAATTTTCATTTATATTTTTTGTTTGTTTTAAATATATTTACTTAAAAAATAGAATTCTATTTATTAAAATATAATTATAGCACAATTATTTATTGTAAGATTATTTTCATCTATTGTAAATTAAATAATCATCGAATTAAATAATCATCAAATAATCGAATGATTGAATTACCATCTGGATATTTTTAATTTTAATATAATTTTATAATAAATTTAAAAAACATTTAAATTAAGGGTGAATATTGATAACCTTTTATAACTCCAAAAGTAAATAAATAGAAAACATCTGCTTATTTCGTATGAAAAGATTCTTTTATTTATTATTCAACAAATAAATAAGTGATATTCTTTCAAAATGTTTTTTTTATTTATACTTCATAAAGATAAATTAGTTTCTTTTTTGAGTTCATTTTTTAGGATGGTTTTCAAGGAGGCTTTGAAACTTCACTGGTGTTGTCAAGTGACCATTTATTTTTTCAGCTTTTAATATGTATGTACAAGTCCTAATATAAAACAATAAATTTTTAAGTGTTTTGCCACAAAGTTCCCAATTTGTATTTTGATTTATGATTTTACCTTTAAGAAGGAAAGTAATTTTTGAAGTATTTTTTATTAAGAAAAAATAAGGCTTATATGCAATTATAAAAAAAGTGTTTCAATCAGATTTAGTCCCCAGTAAAATGTTGTCATTATACATCCTTGGTATTTTTGCGTTTTCTTTTGAATTTCACTTTAAATTTTGTTAGTGGTAAATTTATATCCAATTAAAGTTTTTTGTTTCTTAGCGTGGTGATTATTCCTCATTTTACTATTTTTTAATGTCCATTAAAATGCATTACATAATTTTCTTGATGGTCTAATCCATAAAAATTGAATGTTAGTAGATTCAAGTCTGGACTCAGTGATTGCATTGCACTAAATAAAATTAAGCTGTCATACATATTTTCAGTTTTCCAATTACAATTTCGGATGATTTTATACTTTTTATAATATATTTTAATATTTAATTAGAAATTAATTTAAAAGCATTATTAATAAAAGTTTGAAGTTGGGAAAACTTTTAAAAAAGATCTGCAACACAATATTCATGCAAACAAAGAAAAATTTTGTTTTCTAAGACAGTGATTAGAAATAGATGCAGTTCTGCTTACATCCACAACATCTTGTGATTTTGACTTCAGTTGCACGAACTTATTAAAAAATAATATCTAATCATTTTTTTATAATAATTTATTTGATATGCAACTCTCTCAAAGACTAATTTTCAAAAAACCATAAGTAGATAGTACTTCTCACTAGAAAAAGCTGGACATACAATTACTATGTTCTAAAATAAACAGTTTTTTATTTATTGAACCTACTACACAATTTTAACATAAGTGAGTGTGATATATTCAAGGCAATATATTTTTTCAATTTAAAATAATTTATTTTAATTTGAAACTATTAAAATAATTTAAAAAAATATTTTTAAATTTAATGTTAAAAAATCACAGAATGATAAAGACAAATGAAGAAAAACAGACTCCATAAATATAAGCGAAAATACTAAATGTATGCTTTAGTACAAAAAATTTGGAAAATAAAAAAACTTTTTATTATTTAATTTAACATAATGGAGCTTTAAATTTAGCAATATTCTTATTGACAAATTGCAGCATAATATAAATAAGAAGAAAAAAAAACATACTTTTGATTATATTAGCAAATATTAAAAACGTAATTTAAAAATTAAAATCATGAATATAAGCATACTGGATTATCCATAAAGTTTTTTTTTCTACTTTAAACAAAAGTATCATTTATAAAATATAATCAAACATTTTTTGTCAATGTTTTTTAATGTTTACGAAATTTTCTCAATGTTCATCAACTACTTTTTGAAATATACGTGTAAAATAGTAGGTATAGGTATAGGATGTTAATTTTACAGTCGTTAAGAATCGAATTCAGCTATTACATAATAGTACACATTTTGTTAAATATTTACGGTGTTAACTAAACATCTGAACCAGTTATATAAAGACATTACGGAAATCGTGACATTGGTCAAATCTGTCGTTATTCTTTCATATATTACTGAACTGGAGTCAATTCAATACATATTATTGCTTTGATGCCTATTTTAATATGAAAAATGTTGTAAATTTTGAAAAAAATTTTGTCAAAGGTATACAATTAAAAATTTTATCATAAAAGTAAAGCGAAAAAGAAATACAATTGATAAATTTGTGCATGTAAGTAATTTTTCTTCTATACCTTTCCTTGAAACAATAATTTAAATTAGAATATCATACTTGTTTTAAATATTTAAAACATTAAAATTGAGCACCATAAAATTAATAAAGAAGAAAAAACTGCATGTTTTTGAAAATTAAATATTTTCTGAGAAAAGGAGTGCGCAAAATAAAAAAGTGAACACCCTGAATAACTTTTCATTTAACAGTCAGATTTTCATGTACTAGGTGTCAATCTTAATGGGTTCATGAGTCAATATTCAATAATTTCATTCAGAAAGGAATTTTATGTTCAAAATCTTTCTAAATTATAAGACAGGTGTATGTTTGCATGGTGCTTAAGATTTTAAGTCATTAACGTATGTATATTTGACAGTAGCGCCACCTTTAATTTTCTTTAGATTTATTTGTTTTAATATTTCACTTTAGGTTGCGTGGCAACCTGAGATAGTTTTTGTACTACTTCCACTAAGTAGGAATAACATTTACCATGACGCAATTCTAAATTCTATGCCACTATCCACATAAATCAGTCCCGCAGTGGACTGATCGTTAAGGCACGGTTCCCAGCAGATCACCGAAGTCAAGCATCACTGGCTACGGTCAGTGTGCGGGTGGGTGACCACTTGGATCAGTCTGCGTAGGGACCGAGGGTGTGCGGTATTGGTCCTCGTTAAACTGTGCTACCGTAAAGTGCTCGACTTCGCGCGCAGGTCGTCGGGCTACCGAAGCGGGGGTGCCATCCCCTCCGCAGAGGATCAAAATTGTGATGGCATGTCTTCGGATCATCCTCCGGGATGTTTCCCAGACCGTCGCCAATAGCCCGTTGTGCAGCTCTAGTGCGACGTAAATTAACAACAACACATAAATCAATTATTAAACAAAAATCGAATATCAATTACTTTTCTTTATAATGCAATAAAATCTGGCGAGCAGCTATTTAAACGATCAAACACTTCATTTGTTTATTTGTGGCTTGAAGTTAGGCTCGCAGAAAATGCCGTTCATGGGTTAAATTTAGTAGGAATAACACAACCTGTGACGTAGGCTATAGTATACCCAATTATAATTTTTAGAATCCGTTTTTGATGCTAAATTATTAGTTATTAAAAGATTAAAGTTTTATATTTGTTGTCATTCATCTGTAGAACTTGTAGTTCATTTGATTGATTTTATTTAAAAGGCGTCCGCAGTATTTATTTTAACTTATTAGCGACATTTTGTGGCGTCCGCGACAGGACTCGTTGATACGCTACTTCTGATTTGAAAAATGTTTTTAGCATCAAAAGGATTTAAAAAGGAAGATCTTATTATTGTTGCCCAAGAAATTGGCGAAGTATTACCTCAAAAAGCAACTGTAGCAGATCTGAAAACAATCATTTTGAAAAGTAAAGAATATTTATCTGATCCAGATTTTGTAACAAGTGTATTGGTAGCTACAGTCAATGATCGACGACAAAAGGAGGAATATGAAGAAAGACAAAGAGAATATGAAGAGAGAGAAAATATAAGAAAACATGAACTGGAGTTGGCGAGACTTCAAGCTACATCGCAAAGAACCGGTGAGTCTCCTCCAAATATTATTAGTGCCAGTGCCAGAAAGCAGTTTAATTTGCCAAAATTAGAACTTAAGCAATTTAGTGGAGATTTAAAAGATTGGCTACCATTTTGGGGACAATTTGAACAAATTAATAACGATACAGATATTGCCCCTGAAAACAAGTTTCAATACCTGATTCAAGCTACAACTGTTGGATCTAGAGCTAGAGAATTTGTAATAAGCTTTCCTCCAACAGCTGCAAACTATACCAAAGCAGTAGACAGCCTCAAAGCCCGATTTGGCAAGGATGACCTTTTGGTCGAAGTTTATGTTAGGGAATTGTTGAAGCTCATAGTTTCCGTTCAAAAGCATGAAAGGATATCTATGACGTCCCTTTATGACAAACCAGAGTCATATCTTAGAGTTTTAGAAACGTTAGGTGTTACGACCGAGAAATGCGCTTCAATACTATTCCCTATGGTAGAATCTTGTTGCCAAGAAGAGTTTCTAAAAGCCTGGAACCGAAGTTCTAGGCCGGTATCGCTGCGACCAAAGTTGTGGTTACAAAATTTGTGGAAAGCTAAAATTGGTTGGGACGATGAAGTTGTCACAAAAACACGAGAAGATTTTACAAAGTGGCTAAGTCAGCTTGAATATCTGAAGCACATAGAAATCCCAAGGTGGTTACATTGTGACAAAGGTTACGAGCGCATTTCATTGCATTTCTTTTGTGATGCCAGTAAATTTGCGTATTCCACAGTAGTTTTCCTGAGGATAGAAGAGGAAAGCAATGTTCAAGTTCACCTGATACAGAGTAAAGCAAGAATCGCACCTAGCGGGAAAAAGAAATCAACGATTGCTCGACTTGAACTTCTTGGTGCCACAATTGCAGCTCGTGTTTTACTATTGAAATAGTAAAACAGTTTCAGACGGACAAAGTTCATTTCTGGACAGACTGAACAACTGTATTAGCTTGGCTTAAAAGAGAAGACACATGGGGTGTATTTGTGGAAAATCGAGTTCAGGAAATTGACTCCAGTAAAAGCTAGGAGGCATTTGCCCGGAACTATGAACCCCGCAGACTTACCAAGTTGCTCTGCTCAACAACTTGGCAATTCGAAGTGGTTGGAGGGCCCCAGCTGGCTATATCTTTCCCACACGCAATAGCCTGCAACAGCTGACGAAATTTCCGTTAATGAAGAGGAAGTAAATTTGGAAAAAAGAAAACAGGTAGCTATTTCCATGGTAAATATTGAAGTAACTAATTGGAGTAAATATTGAAGTAAATTACTTTTCAACATATAGCAGAAATGTAAGAGTAGTAGCTTGGATCCTACGCTTTGTCCACAACGTTTCACATCAGGATAAGTTAAAGGGAAATTTAATCTGTGAGCAGGGCCGGATTTAAGCTTGGTGGGGCCCTAAGCTACTGAAAATGATGGGGCCCTTATAAGTTCAATTCCATTTCCATACACCTAAAGTAAACTGTCATTATTTTTTGTTGTTGCGTATGAACATTATATTATTAAAAATATTTATAATATTACTTTATTGTTAAATAGTATATTGATTGTGATGAGAGTATTAGGTAGAACCTTTCTTTTATTGCACATATTTTTTGAACGAGGGAAAAAAGTTACAAAAGAAGCACATTTTAAGCACAGAGTAAAAATTTGGCGTGCTGGTCCACTATATATTTAACAGAGTTTTTTTTTTTANCAAAATCCATAGACTTAGAAACATGAAATTATGAAGGTGTGTAGAAAATATACAAGGACTTAGAAAGAAATACAAGAAAATACAATTCGATTATTAGTTTTATTATTTTTTTAAAACCCCGTTGAACAACCGACTCAATTTTGAGTTTAAGGCTACCAATGTTTAACTCCGTAGCCTTGTAATTTTACCCAATCCAGAAGACAAGGGAACTGCTAGATCAGTACCCAGATGTGTTTATTTGTTATGAGAACTTAGAGGACTTTGTGACCCCGACAGATTTAACATGCACCAGACACCATTTTATACATGGATATTCTTTTGCCGGCTGGATTCAAACTCCCATTCTCACGAACACGAGCCCAGCGCCCTATCAACCAGGCTATCCCGGCCATATTTATTAGTCTATTCTATAACAGTCATTGCATAGCCGCCCCAATTTCGAGTTTACGACAACTAATATTCAACTCCGTAGCCTTGTCATTTTGAACCCAATCCAGTAGTCCCTACACCCTGGAGCAGGTGAGGGCCGTTATATTAATATTGTTTTCAAAAATAAAAAGAACATTTTGAAAGCTGATATTATTTAATTGATGTTTATATTAAAAATATTTCTTCATTATTTTTGCATTCTTTTTAATAGTTTTAAGTATATTTGTTAAATTTTAGTGCAAGAATAAAAATTTTAATTATTTATGAAATTTTTGGCTTATATTTTTAAGGATTTGTTAAAGGGTCTATTAAAAATCAGAGAGAATAAATGTGATACGGGTTTGAAGTATCAGCTTTGCTCTTGATGGTGTATAGTGGCTAGGATGTGAAAGAGCAACAGTCCCGGGCATCCAGCCAAAACAAGCATTCAACGTACCAATGGATCGCACTAAACCTTTATATCAATTAGCAATTAGTTTTAGATAATTACGATTGTAGAATAATTATTTTATTATAAAATGAAATGTTCTAAAAGACAAATATCTGTTAATATTTAACATTTAATCAACGAAAAAACAGAACCAATATTGAAATCTAACGAATTTATTATTTTTAATTACTGATAAATTTTGTGACAGAAAAAAAAATTAAAGCCTGATAGATTTCAGAATTTTAGAAATACCTGATAGTTTTACTATTCAATCAAATGGGTTTTGATGTCTTTCATCCCGTCTGTCTCATTAGTGATTCAACATATTTCAATATCATTTTTATTTCGTTCTTACTTAATATTAATTTGTTTGCGACAGTTAATTTGTTGCCTCTTTTACTACATTTTTCGAGGAGTTTAAAAATATAATATGGAGGATTTTAACTGAAATGAAATTTGCTTTTTTTGTATGCCTCTTTTATTACGTCATCATCACACCCACACGCAACTGTCTACACTAAATAATGCTATATAGAATGAGATGGCAAAGCAACCGTGTGCAGTTATTTAAATTCATATTCAAAAGTATTGGTTAATTGTTTTTTGAATTGATAATTTCAGTCCTTTTTTAGGTATTTTAAAGTGTTATTTAAAACTGCTGCATATCACTTGAAAGCATTAAATACATCATTTGTACAATTTTAAAGTAATATAAAAGGGAAGTCTGATCCTTAGATATTAAATAGATATTAAATAGTCTGATGATCGAATGAAGGGGCAAAAAAATAACTTTTTTACTTTTCAAACTAAAAAATTTTTTATTTATATTTATTATGTCCAACAATGTAAAAAAGAAAAAAAAAAGCATTTTGGGCTTCTGAGGGCCCCAGCTCCGAATAAAACTTTAAATAAAGAGGGGGGAAAGTAGGATCCGGGGGCCCTTGTCATCTCGGGGCTCCAAGCTACAGCTTATTTAGCTTATACGCAAATCCGGCATTGTCTGTGAGGAGTTAACAAAGGCAGAAAGTGTGATTTTTAAGTCAATGCAAACAACGCATTTCCAAGATGATAAATTTCTCGCCGAAATACAAGCTTTACGAGATAAAAGTGATACACTGAGAGTAAAGACCAAACTGATACATAGTGATGAGAATCAGAATTTCAGATGTCCAATCCTTTTTCCTGCTAACAGTGTTGTGTTAGAATTAATCCGTGAAGAGCATATAAAAGCGATCCATGCAGGTCGTTCCATCTTACTCTCAAGACTCAGAGAGCGATACTGGATTCTTAAATCTAAAAAGTTAATAAATAAAGTTATTTCCAAGTGTGTGACTTGTAAGCGTCATCAAGCTAAACCAGTAGAAGTGCCTTTTGCGCCCCTTCCAAGAGAAAGAGTTATGTAGACAAAAGTACTCGAGCTGTATGCCTGCTCTAGTTCCGGTTAGAAAGTTTGCAGCTGCTTACTACACGTTATTCTGCGAGGCGATATCTTCAAACGGAACATTTTGTTATTAATAAAAGAGATAAATTAGATAATTTCTGAGCTCAAATCTGCCGTCTTTCATAAGATATTAATTTTATTATGTAATTCTGGTGAGTTTGGAGTGAAAATTTGTTTTAGTTATTTTGTTATTTATTATTAAAAAAAGGTGACATGGTTGCTAGATTTTGAATAACTCGCTTTTTTGGCAGTCTTGATTTGGCCTCTTTCCATAAGTTTATTACTGTTTGTTCTTGTTGCAAGTTGTGTACCATTTTACGTTAGTCTTAACACTTTATCATTGTAAACACAAGTATTGTTGTTGTTGTTGTTGATTTACGTCGCACTAGAGCTGCACAATGGGCTATTGGCGACGGTCTGGGAAACATCCCTGAGGATGATCCGAAGACATGCCATCACGATTTTGATCCTCTGCGGAGGGGATGGCACCCCCGCTTCGGTAGCCCAACGACCTGCACGCGAAGTCGAGCACTTTACGGTAGCACAGTTTAACGAGGACCAATACCGCACACCCTCGGTCCCTACGCAGACTGATCCAAGTGGGTCACCCACCCGCACACTGACCGCAGCCAGTGATGCTTGACTTCGGTGATCTGATGAGAACCGTGTCTTAACGATCAGTCCACTGTGGGACAAGTATTGTTAGCATTGTAAACACAAGTAATAAGTAATCAAATACATTGATTGCAAGAATCTCAAAGCACAATGTTGCCAAATGGCTTTAAAATACAACGGAAACAGTAACCCGGAAATTTAGGCGGTACCGAGCTTGCAGCGTTCCCTAGTGCAGAAAACACCATCCATTGTGCAGCTCTAGTGCGACGAAATGCACTACAACTAGTCCCGCAGTGGACTGATCGTTAAGACACGGTTCCCAGCAGATCACCGAAGTCAAGCATCACTGGTTACGGTCAGTGTGCGGGTGGGTGACCACTTGGATCAGTCTGCATAGGGACCGAGGGTGTGCGGTATGGGTCCTCGTTAAACTGTGCTACCGTAAAGTGCTCAACTTCGCGCGCAGGTCGTCGGGCTACCGAAGCGGGGGTGCCATCCCCTCCGCAGAGGATCAAAATCGTGATGGCATGTCTTCGGATCATCCTCCGGGATGTTTCCCAGACCGTCACCAATAGCCCATTGTGCAGCTCTAGTGCGACGTAAATTAACAACAACAACAGCACTACAACTATTTCCAGTTTGCCGAAATACTACAACTTCAACTTTATTGTTGACCGTATTGTCCTGAACCATCATGATCTGTAATTAGCTTGCTAGTTGTTAAAGAAATGAAGTAATTATATTTATTATTTTTATAATATTTGGTTAAATGTAAAATTTGTGTTAATTTCACAAGATGTCAGCTTCAAGTGCTCGTCAAGATATGCCACCGAAAGGTGGCTATTCATCAATACAGTGGCAGCGTATTCCATTGAAGAAACCTTGGAGTGGTTAAGTATAAATTTTGATTTAATTATTTTTTTTATTATTCTTGGAGGTACTATTATTTTTTGGGGGGGGGGGGAATACTCATGTTTGAAGGCAAGCTATCATAATTTTTTAGATACTGACTTGCTGCTTTAAATATGAAAGGAATTATATATCTACTTTTAAAATTAATTTTATATGGAATTTGGACTTCGCTTTCAGTTAATTAAAATCAATACTGTTAACATAAAACAAAAATTTTTCAGATCACAGTTTTAAAAATTAATATTTAGGGAAACGTTATAATTTCATACAAAGAGATGAAATTCTTATAAAAAAATTCAGTTTATTTTTTATGTTAAATAATTTTTTTTTCTTCATTAATACTAAAAAGAGTTTAATATATGAGCTAAATATATTTTTTAATAGTTATAATTTTGAAGTCATTAAAATAAAAGCTATATGGAATTGAAATTAATTCATTCAAGTTTACATATTTTAAATATAAGTGGTTTAAAAACTTTGTGGTTACTTCGAAATAAGGAACAGAAATATAGTTGACATCTATCCAAAATTGAGATCTGTACTTCTTGCAATAATTTCAAGTATTTTGTTTAATTATTGAAAATGAAATTTATAAGTGCACAGTTTAATGCTTTTCCTCATTTATTTTGCTATTAATAGATGCATTGACAGTTAAACCACAATCAGACTTTACTTTGCATATCAGTTATGACTACGGCAGATCACTCCCAACAAACAGCGACCTTGAAATTTTTACTGATGGATCAAGGATGGAGGCTGCCGACTCCGCTTCTGATACCACAGAATATAGAACTGGCTCCGGCATTGTTATTAAAATGCACAGTACTTTAATCGAGGCAACCTCCACCAGGATCTCAAACAATAGTAGTGTTTACATGACAGAGTTGGTGGCAATTAATAATGCTTTTTCTCTGGCTCTCTAAAAAAAAATATCCAGGCGCCACTATCTATACTGATTCGCTTTCCTTGTTGCGAGCCTTACAAAACCCAGTATCAAATACGGAAATTTTTGAAAATACTGAACAATTATGGCGATCTAATATACTCTGTAATTGGGTTTAAGCCCATACAGGTACTCAAGGCAACGAGGAGGCGGATCAAGCAGCTGAGAAAGCCACTGATCCCTGCCAAATTACCCTTGAGGTCCCAAGCTCCATCGCCCAAATTAAAACTCAGGTTAAATTATATAGCATGAAGCGTTGGGGGCTGCAATGGCGAAGTTCCGAGAAAGGGAGACAGACATTCAAATTTTTTAAAGACCCGAAATTAAATAAACTACAAGCAAACTTCTATCTCAATCAATTTTTAACAGGCCACGGAGTGTTTGGAGAACACCAATATAAATTATTCCACAAAAATCCAGAATGTAATTACTGTGGTGAATATCAATCTATTGATCACTTGTTAATGAATTGTTTTCAATTCAAGACACTCCAGGGCAATCACTTTAATAATATTATTCAACAATATTATTCAATGCTATGCTAACCTGACTTGTAGAAATATCATAAAAAAGATTATTAAACAAACTTTAGAGGATGTATTGGGGGACGATCTTTAATGGTCTCGGAACTCGCTCGTTCCAGCTTGGGTGTCTCAATTTTATTGATGGTATAGTTTTATAACTTTTACTATGTCTTTCATAAACTCTTTTACTTCCTCCAATTTTATTGTAATTACTTTTGTACTATTTAATTGGTTTTAAAAGTACTGTTTTAAAATGTTATACTATATAGTTCCTTTGTAAATTTTGCACATTTATCTTTTTAATTGTTCTTTTAACTGACACTTTTAATATCTTGCTGTTTTAATGTTTTATCACCTTACATGATTTTTGCTGCTCTGCGCCCGTCATGTTCATGTGCTATTGCCATGTCTGATGTGTATTTTCTGTGTGTACTGTTTTCTGGATTTTTCTTTTTTTTTAATTTTAATAAACATTTACCCATATGCCCTATATAAGGGCGGGTCAGGGGAAAAATTTTTCCATATCAGTTATGACTAATTAGTAGCAACAAAATGACTGAGTTCTAAATAAGTGGTCTTTTGTTCATAAAATATGTTTGACATTTATCATAGTTGGCCAGACAGTCCAGTGTGGGCCTTTCTCTGAACATTTCTCCATTATGATTTCCGATTTATCTTTGATCTCCAATTCTTTTCATTAGTTGAAACAAAATCAGACACCACCGAGTCAGCCCACCTCAACGACAGCCTTCTTGTTCGAGTGGGTTTAAAAAGCAGCATCTTTTTTATTGTATTATCATCATTCATTTGAATCACGGGGGCCATCATCAATTCTTTCTATTTATTTTTATGTGTTTAATAATTATCGGGTTGTTTATAAATCTTGTACAGTTCAAAGTTACATAAAAATGTTGTTTATAGTTGTCTTCTAGATTGGATTCAAAATTGAACAAGTTGAACATTATTCTTAATAAACCAAAAATTGGGTCGGTTAGTAATATCTCGGTTATTTTATTTCTCCAAATAGTTTTGCACATGTAAACATAAATTATTTTATATCTCCAATAGTGTTTTTGAACATTTTATGTTTTTTCAGGTTTCAAAGCCTTCAGTGCTTATTTTCTGATTTCAGCCGCTGCTTATTGTGGTTATCATGAAAGTTTAAGACTTAGAAGGTAAGTTTTATACAATTTTGCACGTTTTGGACAGGACCAGTATTGGCAAAGTTTATTACAGAATGGATTAATCCAAGGTTTAAACCAGGGTTTAATCCGTCTTTTCCAAAACTGTCTAAAACCCTTTTACTCAAATTATGTCATAATTGAAAGAAAATATTGGGAAAAATAAGATTTTATCTTTGAACAGGAAACAAAATGAAGACAGGTTTTTGTTTTATTAAAAAAGTTAATTATTATTTTTAATATTACATTTTTTATACTTATGCAAAAATGTAATTTATCAGTATTAAAAGCATATTTATTCATATTTAAAGGATATAAGGTATTCACTATTGTTGTTCAATGAATGGTGGAGCTTTGAAAGTTATAAATCTTTCCCTGTTATATTGTATTCTTTTAATAAATAAGTTTAAGTAAATTGTATAAAAATTATCAAATATATAAAAATCAACTGTGTAAAAATTATCAAATATATAAAAATCAACTGTGTAAAAATTATCGAAATTGTATGAAAATTATCTACGGCAGTTAAAGACAGTAAAACCCATATGTCCTGTTTAAAACCAGTTTAGGACGTCCAGAACCCCAACCCTGGATAGGACATGTGGGTTTTACTGTCTTAAAATGTCCAAGACCCTGAATATTGGGAAAGGGTAGAAATTCTATACCTTTCTACACATAATAATTACATATATTAATAAATATTTGCTAGTTTTTATATATTTTAATTTAACTTAGTAAAGGAAAATAATATAATATGATAGGAAAAGATTTATAACTTCAGAAGCTTTGCAATTCATTGAACAAAAGTGAATACTTTATCCCTTAAATATGAATAAATATGCTTTAAATACTGATAAATTATGTTTTTACATAATGATAAATAATGCAATATAAAAACAAATCTGAGTAATAATAAACTTTTTTATTAAAAATTTAAGAAATTTATGATTAACTTTTTTAATTTTTAATGAAAAAGTTAATAATAATAAACTTTTTTATTCAAAAAAAGAACTTCATTCTGTTTCTTGTTACATGGTGAGAGCGTTTTTAAAAATGGCTTTAAGGTCCTTATTTTAGATTTTTATTTTATTAAAGGTCTTCAAGGTGCTTTTTTCAATGGGTGTTTTTAAAAAGTGCTTTCAAAAAATAGATTTTTTTCTTTACCATGTTGATTTTTGGCACATATTATGCAAAAGCGTGGTTTTCACATTGTTTTATTCAACGATATCACAATTCATTCAACTACAATCCATTTTGGCCTATCGCCTGTCCATAGCGTATGAAAGCTACAATCCTTTCACATGTTTTATAAAATACTTGCGAGTCTGCATGTGCGTCTACTGAACTCAGTTCGGTGAGATTCTAGCACTCTCATGTGTTGCATTTTGTTAGATTTTCTCAATTTCAGGCTTCACCTTCCAAACTCATTTTTCGAACCGAATAATCTCTCGATCGGTCACTTATGTAATCAAGAAAAGAGTTTTTTGTCTGAAACAAGTTATTTTATCATGATCATGTAAAGTCGTTGAAAAATTATTTTGCATTTTGTTATTGTATATAGTGCTTAAAAAATATTTCTTAAGTGCCTAAAAAGTACTTAAAAGGTGCTTATTTTTTTTGAAAGATTTGTGTAAGAAAAACTATCCTTCAATTTTTTTAAAATTGTGACATGATTTGAATAAAAGGGTTTTGGACAGGACAGTTAAAACCGTAGATTGTTCCATTCTGTCCTAAACCATGCCAACTCTGGTTTTATTCAGTTTTGAAAAAAATCTTTTCTATATTTGATATTTATTTAAATTGTAGGAGGAATAGAAGAGAAAATGAAGAATTGACTGTTGCAATTGAACCTTTACTTGTTGCTGAAAGGGATCGCATGTAAGGATTTTCTTCTTATTTCGAGAGTAAAATATTTACAATTATGTTATTAAAAAAAAAATTTCTCTACATATTACCATTTTTTAAAAATAAATAACAGGGGAAATGTCCCTCTGTGAAATTTATGGCAATTCATATGATTATTTTAAACATTTATTTTAATAGACCTTTTTTATGAGAAAATTCTGAAGTTTCTCTATGTCTAAAATGTAATGAAGATAAATGTTGTTAAAGTTGAAATTTAATTATGGACAATCAATTTTATTTAAATTTGGATACAATTTTAAGACCAAAATTTTACAATAATAAAATTGTTTTTGAACATATGGGTATAGAACATATATATAGAAATTTACCAGTCATAAATTATTTTTATTTGTAGTGACAATTTTTTTGCAAATATTTTCTTATTTTACTGAATTTTTGTATTGATTTTTTAATGTAATTTTTAATTTTCTCAAATTACGTCTAAATTTTTACAAAATGGATACCTCTTAAAAAAACCTCAACAGGCCCCTGAATAATTAAAAAGTCATCATTGGTGTTTTCTAATCATATTTTATTGTATTACATTTTTATTGATTATTAAATAATTTTGTTTGCATATTACTGTAGATTAGTGTCATAATTTTTGGTAGATCATACAAGGTTGCCACAGAAAAAAATGAACATAATAGTTGCTTTTAGTAGCCTTAAAGCGTGAAAATAGTTGCCTATATTAGAACAAAAAATTTTCAATAATTCTGACCAACATTTTATTAAATGGCTCAATCTTTTAAATGAAATAAAACTTTTTTTTATTGAAAAAAAGTTTTTCATAAATGTTTTTTCTTTATTTATATTTGTTTCAACGAAAGAAAAATAATTATTTCCCAAGTGGAAAACTTGAATTAAGAGAAAGAAAAAAACATTTTTAGGCATGCAAAAAAACCTTTGTTGAAAAATATTTTCCTAAACCGAATACATTGAATGGAAGCCAAATATTTGTTACATCCTTAGTTTTTGTTATTTAATTGCTAAATAACATAATATTGTCAAATATTTATCAAAGAAAATTAATTAAAAATAAAATATCTTAAATTACTAAAAAAGAAAGACAATAAAGCTTTAAACAAATTTGTTATGAAATGCTTTTTTTTTTTTTTTTTTTTTTTTTTTTTTCAGATTTTATTTTTAAACAAAATATTAGATAAACTGAATATAATATAAATCCACATAATTTTACAATATATAAGTGTACTCATTTATTTAGGAAAATAAGGATAATTTCAAATTCAAAATAAATATATATTAGATTATACATATTTTGGAATTATATAAATTATTGGGATACATATTTTGGAATTATATAAGTAGAATTATATATTCTATACAAAACTTAAATAAATGATATGGAATTTTTTTTTTTTTTTAGTTTTTTAATATTAAAAAATTTAATAGTTATTGCTAAACAGTTGCATTGGTCATTTTTAGTTGTTTTTTTTTTATCCCCAGTGTAATGAGAAGGTTTCTTTGAAAAGAAATCTCACCCTTGCAGGAAAAAAATTAACAAAATAGTTGCTTTTAGTAACCTTAAGCATGGAAATAATAGTCTCCTAATTAAGAACAAAAATTTTTAAATAAAATGACTGAAATTTTATTAAATAACTTAATTGTCATATACCATGATCCATTCAGTCAAGTTGATGGCAAACGTGATAATTTTTATATAAACATTTGTGTTCTCAGCACTAAATTTTTATATCAAAAATTTTTTTCTATATTTGCCGAGAATTAAATACTCTTAATTGATAGAATTCATTCAAAAAATTATTTTTCATTAAGAAAAAACACTTTTCTAATAATTTTTTTTCTTTTCTCTATAATTGATTTTGTGTATATATAAATATATATATATACAGGGTGTCTCAGTTAAACATTTCAGAACTCCTAAGATGGGTAGAGTGCATCCTAACGACTCGAAATCATATAGCAATGCGGGGTCTGAAATGCTTTCTAGACACAGTAGATGGCGTTATACGAAAGTTCCGAGCTTTCCAGTGCTTTGGCCTCCTCGGTAACCCGACCTATCTTGTCTGGATTTTAATTTCAGGGGTCATATGAAAACACTGGTTTATGATGCTCCTGTTGACAATGCTGAGGAGCTGGTTGCAAGAATCACCGTAGCAGCCGGAGAAATTCGAGGTATGCCTGGAGTATTGCAGAATGTTCGGATATCCATGCACCAGAAATGTGAGGTGTGCATTGGAGCCGATGGCAGAAGCTTCGAACGCTTACTTTGACCCATGTACCTTATGCTTTTTTCAATGTATTATTAGAGCGACTTTTCACTTACGGACTCTTTTCTTTGTGGTGCTTCTGTGTACATCACCGCTTCAGGAAAGCATTTCCGACCCCACATTGCTATATGATTTCGAGTTGTCAGGATGCACCCTACCTCTCTTAGGAGTTCTGAAACGTTTAACTGAGACACCCTATATATATATATATATATATATATATATATGGGTTATTCTCACGAAACATGATATTCACTGTTCCTTGCTCCAAGATCTAATACTATAATACTAAAAGAACTTTTTTTTTAAAAAAATTAATAAATAGCATTCCTGTTAGCATTTTAAAATGACTTTGCACTATCATTGACTGTTTTGTATAATTAAAAAATTTAATTGAATATCAAAATGTCATTTTCCTGGCATGTCCCAAACAGTATTTCCAATAATAACTAGCTTCAAAACTTCCCATACATTTTTCAAAATCTAATTTTTTTTATCTTATCCTATGTAAGCATTTCTAGAATATACGCAGAGGGTATTGTTTACTGAAACTTCGTTTAAAATAATTTTTTCTGTCAATAATTTGTTTGTCCCATGAAAATCTGTCATTTTCCTGGCTACTTTTATTTAGTGATTTATAACCAAAATAGGTAGCGCCAGGAATCAATATCTTATGTTAATAGATTGACTAGATACCCTCCTATCTGAACATGTCTCGATGCATGAATAAAGAACCAATTTTCTGGCTCAAAATCTATTTCAAACAATTTTTCAAGATGAGTAGGTTTTTATGCTGTCATTTTCCTGGCTTCTTGAAATCATTAAGAACAGAAACTACATAGATTTATCTGAGTTATTTTAAGAAATACTGTCGTTTTTTACGGAATATAAACGTCTTCGGCCAAAATATTAAATTAAAGTAAAGCTACATGCTATAAAACGGCGAATTTGTCATTATCCTGGCTGGAATGCCAGGACATTGAAATATTACCAGAAATTCTTTTTAACTTCTAATACTGTAAAGGGGGAAAGCAAATATTAACCTAATACCAAGTTTATGTATGATTGTAATATGCTTGGATGTAATCAAAGTTATTTATTTATTTAATGATTGATTATTATACACAATTTTATTCTGTACATATCAGCAACAAAATTTTTTTTTGTTTCTCTCTACAGTGGATAAAAAGAATTAATTTAAGCTATTTATGGTCCATCTAACATAAAGGCTTAAGTTGAGTTACTTACTATTAACTTAAAATGACTGTTTTTTAAACTTCTAAGGTCATATGTCATTTTCCTGGCATTCAAGATTTGGTGAATTTCTATTTTATTTTTTTTCTCGAGCAAATGTCAATAAACTACACTGCTGTCTATAAGATATTAATAAGGTTAGCTAAAGAAGTATACAAAAAAATTTTTAGATTATTTTGAGGACTTTAAATTTGAAGAAATTTTTTGGTCCGAATTGTCATGTTTCGTGAGAATCACCCATATATTAATGAATTATGTAATTGAGAATCTGGTATCTGGAAAGTCATGGGTTTTGACCTTGAAGGAAGGGAATTTTTTTTAAAATGAACAAAAAAAAAACCAGGAGAAGTTTTATTAAACCAGTAGATCAGGAAGAAACTGGCAAAATCCAGTGGTCTACTGGAAAATCCAGCATAGTTGGCAGCTATTCTCATGATTCGGGGGCAGGGTTGCCACAGGCAACTAAAATTCAACATTTTTTGCTTGAAAATGCTAAAAAATGCAGCTATTTTTCTATTTGGAGACTTTCTATACTCCAAGCGATGTTTTATTTTTTTTAAAAATTTTTTAAGCATGAATTGGGTTGAAAACCTGTGGCCAGCCAGAGCTTCTGAACACTCTTAAATTTTTTTTAAAAAAAATAAAAAATTTTGAATTGCAAATTTGAGTCATCACTTTTTATTTCATTCACTTAACGCAAAGTCCATCGTAAAACTATTTCGTTTCTCGATCGCCTTTTCAATAGTTATTGCTACGAAATTTTTAATAGCTATTGCATGATTTTAAAAAACTCAATTTTTAATACAGTATTACGATGTGTACATTTTGAATTTGAGTAATCACTTTTCACTTCTATATATCTGCTAAATCAATTATTGATAAAAGGGAATTTTTTTTAAAAAAAGTATGTTTTTTTTAATGAAAAAGTATTTTTTTGTGTGAATTCTTGAAATTAAAAGTATTTAATTTTCTGCAAATATACTAATTTTTTTTTATATAAAGCTGTAAAGCTAGAACACTAACGTTTATATAAAAATTATCATATTTGGCACCGGCTTGACTGAAAGGATCATGGTATATGACAATTAAGTCATTTAATAAAATTTTAGTCATATTTTTGAAGAATATTTGTTCTTATTTAGGGAACTATTTTCATAGTTTACGACAATTATTTTCATGCTTTAGGCTACTAAAAGCAACATTTTTGTTCATTTTTTTCTCCGTCAACCCTGCAAGGGTGAAATTTTTTTCGGAAAAACTTTCTTATTACACTGGAGGTAAAACCTAGAAAAAGCTCATACGATTATTTAGAAATAACTATTAAACTTTTTCAAAAAAAAATATATATATATATATATATTTCCATATTTAGTTTTATTCAGAGTAATTCTAGAATCTGTATAAGCTGCTATTATGTAATTTATTTTGATTTTGAAGTTTTGTTATCCTTATCTTCCTAAATAAATTTGTACACTTATACCTAGTTAAATTATGTGGACTTTTATTATTTTCAATTTATCCAATATTTTGTTTAAAAATAAAATTATCTGGAAAAAAAATTTCATAACAAATTTTATTAAAGCTGTGTTGTTTTGTTTTAGTAAATTTAAATATTTTATTTTTAATTAATTTTCTTTTTATTAACATATGATATTTAACAATTAAATAACAAAAACTAGGGGGTGTAACAAATATTTGGCCACTATTCAGTGTAGTAAAATGTATTTAAACATAGATTTTTTTTATTTAATTTATTAATTTGGTTTTCTATGCCTAAATTTTTTTATTTTTTTAAGTGTTTCTTTTGAGAAATAATTATTTTTCTTTCATTGAAATAAATATAAATTAAGGGAAAAAGCTTATGAAATACTTTCATTTTCTTCATTAAAAAAAGCTTTATTTATTTATTTTTTTAAATTATAAACAATTGACAAAAAAAATTATTAAAGTGAAATTTAAAAAAAAAATTTATGAATCTTTCTTATTTTTAGACTTAATATTTTTATTATTTCATTAAGATTTTTGACTTTAATAGTAATTTAATTTCTATGTAATTATTATTTTAAAGGAAACTATTAAGCTTAACTTTAAAAGGAACTATTTATTATTTAAAAGAAACTAATTAAGCTAACAAAAATATTAAAAAATAAAGAACATAACATTTTTTTTAAATAGTTGCTAAATTTTAGGAGCATTTTTTTAAAATAATGCTCATAAAAAGATTTAAAAAAAAAAAAAAAACTTTCCAGTATTAAGAATTGAAATTTTGGCCCAAAGGCTTCAGAAATTTTTCCTATCCTGTTATCATCCGCCATCTTTATTTCATTTCAACCCTGTGGTAGAATTTTTTTCTGCCTTTCTGTGACTCTCTCGCACTCTCTGCAAGATAAAAAAGACTAATTCAAGTTCGTGATTTTTTTTTTAAAATCTGATTTTTTAAATTTTTATTCTAATACAATGTAAGAACTTTGATTTATGATTAAAAAAAACTTTATAAATGTTTAATCAAAATTGAACTACTATTAAAACTATATTGTAACAATATTTTAGAAGCTCTAACTACCTAAAACAATTTTTCATTTTAATACATAGCTTTGAAGGCACAGCAATCATTTTGAAACAAATGCATGATTGAAATTTGAAGACCAGATGAAATAGATAATTTAAACCCTGTTTTCGACATATTAGGGTAATTTTTTTTGAAGATAACCTCAAGCTTTAAAAATATACATTTTCCACCATTAAAATATAATGCAGATTTTAATTAACATTATTTTTTTTGTGAAAAGAAATTCATGTTTACTATAATCTGTACTTTCAATCTCAAGAATCAAAAGATTTTTAAAAATATAATTTCAAATGTGTTGGAATTTAACACACACCAAGAAAGAAAGTAATTTCGTTAACTTAAATTAATTAATGCAGCAATTTATTAAAAATAAATTTTTAAACTTAAAAAAAAACGCTTGATTTAAGTCGTGATTGAAATCAATCTGATTTATGTCAACAAACCCTGATTCAAGGTAACAAAAATGCTGTATTTATAAAAAGAAAGAAACGTAATTATTTTCATTGAATACGTAGTATTTTTTTATTCTAATATTGTGGGCGATATTCTCGCATTTTGTTGGAGAGAAAAACGCACTCATTATTTCCATTATCGCATTTTGTAAATCACTAAAAGAAATAATTAAAAATCATGAAATCTGCGGCAGTAATTACAGAATGACAGAAAACAGAATGACAACAAAATCACGTGAATCGGACTATTAAGAAAAGGGTTACTCAAATGAGTGTTTCGTTTCAAGATTTGATTATTGTAATAAAAAATATCAAATTTTAAAAACTACATGGAAATCAAAAGCAATAATTGCCTCCTGTGGAATCATTGCTTTAAAAAGTAAATACTCGAATGCACGATTCCAATTTCTCATAACGTCTGAAATACACTCTATAACAAAAAAATCGACGCACCAAGAAGGAGTTGTCCAATTGAAACGAAAATTGGTGGATAGGAAGACATGTACAGAATAGTAAATGATTAAAATTTCAGAACAATTGAATAATTTATTGCAGAGCTACAGTAACAAGTTCAATAAGGTATGACCCGCGCCTCTAGCCTGGATACAAGCTGCCACACGGCGTGGCATAGACCGATAAAGCTCCCGGATGGTCTCTTGCGGTATTTCCTGCCAAATTCGATCCAATTGTCGTACGAGGTCATCAACATTCCCTGCCAGATGCAATCGCCTTCCCATCATTTCCCAGACATGCTCGATGGGAGAGAGATCTGGTGATCTGGCAGGCCATGGAAGAGTTTGACAATCTTGCAGACAGTTCATAGCAACACGTGCTGTATGTGGCCTGGCATTGTCCTGCTGAAAAACCAGCCCAGGGCTCTGCAAAAGGAACGGTAGCAAAACAGGTCTTAGGATGTCGTCGACGTACCGCTGTGCAGTAAGTGTACCTCTAATGACGACCAAAGGGGTCCGGCTGTCAAAGGAAATGGCACCCCAGACCATAATGCCTTGTTGAGGGTCGGTGTGGCGTGCAATAGTGAAGTCAGGATCCCCCCTCTGCCCTGTGCGTCTCCAAACACGTCTTCGATGATCGTCAGGACACAGTTGGAAGCGGGATTCGTCGCTAAAGACTATACGTCCCCAGTTGGCATCATTCCAGCCTGATCGAGCGCCGATTTTGCGCGTCTTAGTGCGTTCTTGGTGCGTCGATTTTTTTGTTATAGAGTGTATATTGGGATAATTAAAAACCACCTAAAAATCATTTGACTGTTGAAAATACATTCGAAACACTACTTGGATTTTCGATATTATCGGCATAAATTGAACACGACAAAAAGTGATTATTCTGATTCTGAAAAGTGATTCAAAGTGCAATTCAAATTTTATGTGTAAAATTTCTGCAGAAATAAAATAAAAATTCTTTCTGCAAAAACTCTGTAGCAATCTGCGACAACATCGTCACAATTCTACCATAGGGCATTTCAGTAGATATTTAACTGAATTGTACAGGGTGCTTAGCCAAATCTTTCAACAAAGATTAAGCACCTTTTAAGTACTTTTTCTGCACTCAAAAAATATTTTTAAGCACTATATACATCAACAAAATGCAAAATCATTTTTGAAAACTTTGCATAATCTTGATAAAATAATTAGTTTCTGACAAAGAGCCTATTATTAAAAAATTTGGAGAAATTTTATGAAGAGAAATTTTACCTCTATTAAAAAATTTGGAGAAATTTTTCAGTTCAATATCAGAGGCTGAAAAATGAAGCCTGAAATTGAGAATATATTGCAAAATGCAGCAGATTTGCACACGAGAGGTGCTAGAATCTCGGCTCAGTAGACGCGCATGTGAACTCCCAAGTATTTCATCAAAAATGTAACGTGATTGGCGCTATCATACGTTATGGACCGACGGTACGCCGAAATGGATTGTGGTTGAATGAATTGAGAAAAGGTTGAATAGAACAATGTGAAAAGCACGTTTTTCCATAATACATGGCGAGAATCGGCACGCCAAAGAAAATAAATCTCATTTTCGAAAAGGGAAAATTGAGCACTTTTAAAAAAACCCTAGGTTGCCGCAGGGAAAACCTGGAAAATACAGGGAATTTAAAAATCGTCTAAAATAAGAGGGAAAATGCAGCAAATTTTGATATTTTTTTTCTTTACAAACTGGGAAATTGCTGGGAATTTTTTTTCTTATTTTTGTCTTTTTAAAAATGGTGACCACTCAAAGCGTAATCTATGCGGGGTTGCAAAAAACCCGTGTTTTTGTAGAAAAACCCAACCCGGGTGGGTTTTATTGGGCTTTTCATGTTTTAATGGGGGGGGGGTTCAAAAGAGAGGGCAGGGATAAGTACCCTATTTTAAAAAAGCTTATTTTAATATTAATAATTAAGTTTAATTTTATAAATTGACTTCATATAGATAATTAATTGATGTGAAAGTCTGAAAAGAGTTTCTTCCGACATCACGATACAAAATGTTATATGTACTCACATACATCACACATTTGAAACTTATTTAACACAGGTTTACTTTTTATTTATATTTTAATCTTAAAAAATGTTTGAGGAAAATTTTTTATTTGCATAGAAAGCGAATCAATGGCACTGAATAATCAATGACCATACAGTCAAATCTAGCCAGCAAGGTGACTCTCCAGTCTCCAACACAATTAGTTTCTTCACTGTAGGTTAATTTTTTTTAGACTGGACTACATATATATTTCAATAGAATAGCTCTTTAATATAACAGAGGATGAAAAAAGAAATCAATCTTAGAAAAACCAAGTAAAACCCACTTTAGGGTGAGTTTTACCGGGTTTTACAGAGTGAGTTTTACCCCGTAAAACCCGGGCGGGTTTTATTGGGCAGGTGGGTTTTTTGCAACCCTGAATCTATGGGATAATATTTACCATGATACTTCATTTACTATAGGTATGTTCAGCTGTTTTTCCACCAATTAAAACTGATAAATATAATTTGCCCACTATAGCTCACACAAGAGCACAGTAATTGTTGTTTCCTCTTAATATATTGTGTGTAATATGTACAGGGTTTTTTTTTTTTTCCAGATTTGTTTAAGGGCTTTTAAAAAAATGAAAATCGAAACTATGTACATTTCATTGAGAGTTTTAATTCTAGGTATCTGAATCAACTTCGTAAGAACCGAGAGGAGGAAGCTGACCTGATGAAGAATGTTCCCGGATGGAAAGTGGGGACATATTATGGTCAGCCACTCTACACAACAGTTGGTGACAACATAATTGATCCCTATTCATTTGAATACTATGCCCATGCTCACCCCAATGATGAGTATTGGATGCAGACATACGACTTTTGGATGTGAAATATATTTATTATAGAATGTTGTAATGCTTTGAATAGGAAATAAAAAGAGTTTTTTGTGGAGAATGTTGCCTTTTTTAATATCTGCCTCCTGTATTTTCCACGCACCTGGAAAGTCATGAATTTCAGTATTGAACAAAATTGAGTCATGAAATGTCATGATTTTTCAGTACTGCTATTATCGTCTAACATTTATCGTCAACTAACTATTATCGTCAAGACATTTTTGGTTTAAAATTTTAAATTTTAGTCTATCTTTTACTAAAATTTAAGTCCTTGAGAATTTTAAATAAGTCTTAAAAAGTACTTGAATTTTATTTTTAAAGTAGAGCATGAACCCTGTTCTATGATTTCAGATTATTTGTTTTTTGTATTTTATCAATTTCAAATTCTAGCTGAAGTAAGCCAGTCATTGGCGAGTTTTATTTCAAAATGAAAACAGAAAAAGTATTTCTTTATTTCCGATAAACAGGAAAAGTATCTTTAAAATATAATTCTACAAAAAAAAATAAAGAAAAAATTATTTGCTTTTATATTTTTTCTGCTATTTTATTGCTTTAATCTTTCGTTACTCTGTTTTTTAAATTTAAAATCTATAAATATGAAGACGCAGTGTATAACAGTTTTGGTTATACCTATTATTTCAATTAATGTTATTATAATGCTTTTTTTAAATTTATTGTCGTGTTTTTGTCGGAGAAAATAGTAACTACGTTAAGTCATGAAAAATTCTTGGGATTTGTCAAGGAAAGTCATGAATTTGAAAATCTGAAATGTAGCAGATACAACCCTGTTTACCCGTATGTTCTCAAATTTCTCCGTATTTGTTGAAGAAATAATAATATTTTGGCGATAAAATATCTGCTGATGGCAAAAATTACTTCTCTTATTCCTCAACAGATTGCCAGTACTGTAGTATGTTGAATGTTAATAATTTAAGTGAAAATATCCTGAGTAGTAGACGGATTTTGGGTTAGAGTCCCCTTGCAGTCAGGCTAACCGTAGGAGATTTTCCTATACATGTGACACAAATGGAGGGTTACCTTCCATCAAAAAGTCCTACACGAAGGCAGAATTTCTTTCCATTTTGTATAAGTAAATTTTTTATTATTGTTCTTTAGCTTTAGTGAAAGACAAATTTCTAGTTTAATTATATGCACTGAAATTGAGTGATAAATGAGTTAATTAGATGTGGATAAATGTGAAATTTTAAGTACTATGGTGGTGATGAGGGTCAGATATATTTCAATGGACTAGATTGTTGATACGTTTTCGACTATACCAAATGCTTAAGCTGAGATTTTTTTCAACTATTTTATTTAAAATTAAAAATGTATAATGTATTAATTTTACTATTTTAGAATTCTTCGTTGCAAGCACTGACAAATAGTTTGCAAAAATGCGGAGAGAAATGAACAATAACCGTACTTTGTTAATACTATATTGCAGAAAAAGGAATTAAAATTTAAAAACAAAAATAATTTCTAGCTGTAACGAAATTCTTATCTGCGCAAGGAATAATAAATAAGAGAAGCAACATTAAATTACATTATTTGAATTCTTGAACATTAGCATATAGATTGTAACGATGATGAACTGATATTTTTCAATGGACTAGATTTATGAAAATACTGATTGATTTGTTTTAATGCAGTCGCGAATTATAAAATCATCCATCCTATATCTAAATACTATGTACTATTTCTATCCAATCTGCGACTTATTTTAGTTAAGGCTGTAATGGAGCATTATTTTAATTTAAAAAAGAGTGGAATAAAATATTATTTTCTATGAACTTTAACACCACTGATTTCAACCGAAAAGAAATGATTCGCTGGAAAGAGCTGCATAATCATTTCTTCAGATATTTTAGCAATAAATAACAACGTTTGAAGTTTTAAAATCTTTTTCTCATTTTGTACACACTCTCAAAACCGTAAATTTAATTCACAAAATTTTTACTAACAATTTACAAAGCATATTCCTATTATATACGTGATATCAAAACTAAAAGAGCATTGAATAGCCTTAGCGGATCGGGACGCACATTTACATCCAGCACATGTGACGTCATAACCAATCAGGGATCGTCTTTGATGGCATCATTTACAGAGGCCTATTGGAGCAATTTAAATGTTTAATAACTAAATAAATAACATTTGCCAAAAAAAAACAATAAGATTTTCGGTTTCAGGAGAGAATTTCCAATAAGTTAGATATAAAAAAAATTATGATACGCTGCAATTGTCCATTAGGAGGCTCTAGCATACGCGTTACTTTACTAATTAAAGCCGATGATGATATTTTACATTAGAACTAGAGTCTGGGAGAGCCTAATTCATCACCATCACTGGAAATCGAATTCGAGTCAGCTAATTAGGAGGTTTCCCTTGAGCATTACTTTAATAATTAAAGCCTTACGTGGATTTAGCAAGAAATTGTCGAACTTAAAAGCGTCTAACAACCAGAAAAACATCGAAAATTGTGATAGAGATTCAGCAAGATATTAGTTTTCATATTTCTATACAACACGAATCGACTTAGAACAGAAATTTGAGTTAAGTGATGAAGTTCCGGCTGTGAAACAGAACGGCCGTCTTCATGCATCACATTCTCCCAGTTATTTCAAAACTTCTGCTGGTCATCATGTGCAAATTTTTGTTCTATCATCATGCTTTCAGTGAATAATTCTTGTTTCGGTAAGAAATTATTTAGTCGTTCTTTCAACGGAAAAACAACGAATAAAATTCCTTGCAATATTCTAAAATGCACGACCATTGCTCGTTTCGTTCGCCGCATACCAGTGTTCACATATTAAGTTAATCACATAACCGTTTGGCTAACCATTGGAGTTATTCGCCGTTTTTCTTTCCTTCGAATGCAAATGCTGAGCACTAAAAAAAACCCGGAATTTAGTTTGCAACTATTACGGGAATTTTCGCCTTTAGTTCAATCTAAAAAGAAGGTAAGTTCGGAACATATTTCTCAGATTGCGATCTGCGCAGCGTTATATTAAATTGTTCAGATTAAACTATTGTACCGCTATTAGATTTTCTGTAATAGAAGTGAGATTGACTAATCGAACAGGGAATGAATAAGTCAAATTCGCCAAAGAAAGGAATAGCTTGACCCAAAGATTATCATATTTTATAGAAATTACGGAGAATATCTTGTCAGTTTTCAGGACGGGAAAATTGAAATGTATTGTAATTTAGGAGTTACGAAATGACTATTCATTTCCACTAAAAGTTAAAAATTAAACACTCCTTAATTATCGAATTAACAATTTTTAACTTGTGGGGAGAGTAGTTACAGACCATGTCAACCGTCATCTATGAAAAGGTACCCCAACATAGAGTCGAGTTAACATGTCTTATATACTAGTGAATTGTAGTTGTAATTTTGTAGTGGTAGATACGCTACAAACTCATACTGAAACATCTTGTTGAAAAAAAAAAAAAAAAAAATTGACCATACTATCTTAGAGACAATCTCTGGAATATAAATAAAGTTTATAAAAATCAAGATTAAATTTTATGAACGATTGTCGGATAGAAAAAAAACGTTTTTAAAATAGCACCTTTAAATTTTCGTTCTTTAATTTAGCAAGGATTCAGTATTTTTAAAAAAACTAGAATATCAAAGGGATAATTGAAACAAAATTAAGTTCATGGCACTGAAAGAAAAAGACACTTCACATTTGATAATATAAGCAATTTTCCCAACTTTTAATTAAATTATAAAACAAACTTTTATACAAATTAAGCCTTTCTCCAGATAGTGATTTACTTTACACATTTTATACTGAATTGTTGGTTACACAACATTTATAAGTCACACATTAATAAGCATAAATTCACTACAAAAATGGCAATCATGATATTTAAAATACAAATTGAACATTGACTGAAAGCTATAATTTGAGTTGGAAACTTATTTACTTTGTATTATACAACTAACTCCCTATCTCTATTGACAATCCACATTTTTGTGTTACGGCAGAAAAGTGCATAAAAATTTATAATTACAAAATTTATAATTAAATACAATTACGCTGAATCCTCCTGATCAAACTCATGCCTTTTCGTTTAAAAACAGTACATTATAGAAAATCGGTAGAAACACTACTAATACCCTCTAATATGTTACACATTCAATATATAAAGTGCCTCAGTTGGAGAATTGAAACAACATATGTAAAACCAATGACTGAATCTGATAAATTGAACTTCATACATTTTGTTTCCTTTAAAAAATTCCTTTCTTTTTTATTGCAAACTAAATTACAATAATACATTAAAAAGCTCATTGGAATTAAAATTAGATTTTAAATTAGATTACATTTTACTCTTATTATAATGCCACAGTCATTTAAAATTAAGTTCGGTGATGGAGAGGTTAAATTTTTGATCAGTCTTCACTTTAGTTACTTTTTTTTGAACTTTAAGTTTTCCTGCCCACTTTAAAACCTACATTCATACGTAGGAATAATATTCAGGGACCGATCAAGACAAGCCCAAGGCCCACCAAATTTTCTGGGCCCCTTACAAAATATTTTGAAATTAAATTACTGAAGAGTGGTCCCAATAATGAAAAAACTATTATAACTATTGAACTGCATGATTCAAGAGAAACATTCTTAGATATTTTGAAAGCAGAAAATTGAAGATTATTTTTCTAAGATAAAGTTTACGTATCTATAAATTAATGCAAAATATAAAACAACAAAACAATGTTGTATGAAAATAAAAATAGTTTGGTGACCACAAACAATTGAAATCAGTGAGTTTTGCTAAAAGTCACTGATTAGCTGGATTATTTTTTATTTAGTACTTAAGCCAACACATAACTAGCCCACCTTTCATTAGATTTTTTACTAATTTTTGAGGCACCTCAGAAATTGTGGGCCCATGCCTATTGGCCCTAGGCTGTAATCAGGCCCTGATAATCTTTCAACTTAAGATGGACATAACAAAAAACACTTCCATTAGAATCTACTCATGTTCGAAAACTCGAACTAAGTATATATTATAGTCATTTAGTCAACGTTTAAGAAAATTTAATTA